ACAATGACTTGTATATGGTGGATACATTTGTATCACACCCCTCAAAGCCATGGGATCTTGTACGGAAAGCCTTCTTTCTTGGCAATCCCATCCATTAATTCAAATGGATTTCAAAGAATTTGATAGATGATGAGACTATCACGGTATTATTAAGAGCAGTTGGCCTATGAATTGATGGATGCCTGAATCTCTTCTAGTGTTTTCCCTTTTGTTTCTGGGACAAACTTCGCCACAAACAGAATGGTCACCAGGGAACATCCAGCATACAAGAATAAAGTACCTAACACAATACCAGAGTTCAGTCACATATTACTGATTACTGAATGGAACATGGACATTACTATTCTAACCTAAAATGCTCCCTGATGGACAAAATATGCAGTGTCAAGATCAACTTTCTTGTATCAAGCACAATAAGCTGGCTGTGCTTTTTTATAGTATTTTTGCTTCATAAGTGTTGACTAGTAAGTACTAACCAGGAGCATTCCAACTCATGAGAAAGTTGTAAGTGTATGAAACTATCCAAGCTCCTAACCAGGTCACCAAAACCACCAAGCTTCCAGCAATTCCCTTCACATTTATGGGAAATATCTGCCATAACAAAAACTATTATTAGATTTTTTCTTTAGATCCGTATGAATTCTTCACTATCTCATCACTGGACCCTTCCGTTGCTAGAAAGGATTCAGCTGCTTCGTTACTTTCATTCCATCAAAATATTTATAGATTTTCTGTATTGCTTGTCCATTGAAGACTGAAAATTCAGGGTTCCATGCTTTTTAGGCTTCCCTCTTCCCTATGTCCCCCATCTTGTCATTTTCCATTGGATGGTTTGTAAATGTTCTCAGTGAAAGCTTTTGTTTCGTCGATTGTACCAAATACAAACAAAAGTTTTATGGGAAAATATACTAATAGCAACAATCTCAGAATTGACTTTTTGTTCTTGAAAGCTATGCCGCAAAAGCCAAAATCATGGGAGATGATGGTGTAAAGAGATACATACCTCAGACATAATCACCCAAGGCACCGATCCCATTCCAATTGAAAATGCTGCAATATAGATCTGATGCAAGCAGGGGCAAAAAGATGAAACAATAAACCTGAACCTAAGTGGAAATAAAGAAAATATTCAATAACAATATCAACAGCTAAAGAAGAAGACTTACCAGCACTCCAGCAACAGCTAACATTGGTACCCACTCAAGCAGTAAACTCTGTCCCTGATCCATGAGACAGAAACCCGGATTTTACATTTTAACACACAACAAACACACAACAGAAACTGGTTAAGATATGATACTAAAGACTTACTTTGAGAAGGAACGCAATTCCAGTGATAAAGCATCCTAGGAATGTCCCACTTGCAGAAACCTGCAATTGTATAAGCAGTTTTACTAAGCATCAATGCTCCTATACTAATTCCTGTTTAGATGGTAAGGCAAATTGCATGACTAATGACCAATTTACCATTATAAGAGGTCTTCTTCCTGACTTGTCCATCAAAATGGCTCCCAATAGAGTGATTGGAATCTATCATTCGTTTTAATAGAAAAAGTTCAAACAGAGAAATGAAGTTATAAATGATTCATGTTTGAAAGACTAGTGAGAGGATCAACTACCTGTATACAAGCATAGCCTATGGTACCAATGTTGGATGAAGAAAGTCCTGCAAATCCAGTTATACGGGAATAAATATAAAAGGAAAAATAAATAAATCAGTTATTTTTTGAAATCATCATATATATTTTTTCTCACTTACCAGCAGCAACAAATGTCTCAGCTGCATAGAATCCTATACCATTGATTCCCACAGATTGTTGACAAACCATTATTCCAACCCCAATCTGCAATTAGTGCAGGAGGTTAGAAATTAGATCCCTTTAAGTAGTCATATAAACTGTAGCTAGTTATGAATAAACCTATAAGCATGTCACTATCTCAAACATGAGCCTCTTGAAACATTTTGTTCAACGTGCCTATATGTTTAGTATAGTTGTTTTGGCTTAGAACTTTTGTAAATCAACTCTATTTAAATATTTCTCAGGTATTCAAACTTCCATGGGAAAATTATGTTGCTTACAACTACTGAGCGGACATGTTTGCCTTGGAACAAATCCAGAAACTGGGCTTTGGGAAGGCTTTCAAATGTTGCAATATAATCCTGTCAGGAAACAATATTGAATCAGCTCCTCAAACATGCAAAACTGATAAAATTTTGTAGATTCCAGCAAAAGTTGTTCAATCAATTAAGGAAGCTTAGAAAGCACCTGAATTTCAGCAGCTTCCTCAGAGATGTCAGTATCTTTGCCACGAAGTCTGCCTAAAGCTGCTAGAAAGTCTTTTTCACGACCAACCTTTGCCTGTAAACATTTTAATTTAGTGTTTTTAGGCTTTTAGCACATAGCTATCCAAATTTTTTATAACCGTAAAAACATATCTATGAAATATTTGGGCTGGACATATATAGAAATATCTATATTGTTCAGGACATACCCACTACCTGAATTTTATTTTATTTTTAATTTTTTTATATTCAAGCATCTTATAAGTATGTTTCTAAAGGTGTTTGAGAAAACAAGTTGTTACCAGCCATCTGGGTGACTCTGGGATAAAGCACAGACCAATCAACAAGGAAATGAGCGGCATGAGCCCTACAAAGTTGAAATCAAACCAACAGTCAAACCATTTTGTTCCATAACTGGCTTCACTTTATAAGACAGTTAACGACCATAATGTTATAACTTACCAGATAGGGCCAGTGTCCTCCAAGTTACTATACTTCCTATTAAGAATGAGATTGATGATCCAATAACAATCATAAGCTGAAAAAGGATCAGAATCATCAAACCTCAAGGTCAATATTCTACTAAATACTAGCATTACTTTAGAGAATAATAAAAGTATAACAATACATATTACACTCACTCACCTGGTTTGTTGTTGCAAGCCCTCCTCGAAGGTTTTTGGGTGCGATTTCTGCTATATATACAGGAACCTGTTCCAGTTTTTCTGTTATTTTTAAGATTTTGAAATATATTATTGACAAGAGAAAGATAAGAGTATAATCATTAGAACCATACATGATTGAGTTCAAACTTTCTACATAAAAGCAAATACAAGTGATCTCCACCTGATTGGTCCATTGAAGAGCTGAAGGGAGAGAAGTTGTTTGGTGTGAGAGAATGTCATTCTTAAGCTTATTCTGATAGAACAATTTGGATTTTGAAGGATTCCATCATGAATAGAAAGGATGCTACTGTATTTTATGGAATTCAATCGTAAAAAATAAAAATTGCTCAGGGAAGCATACTAAATAGTAATTTCTCTCCTCGAATGTGCTTTGTTTTCCTGTTGGTTAGTATTTAGGATTTTGCTGTGGCTTTCTGGTTTATGTTGTATCTGAATAGTTTTTTTTTATGGATTAGTGAGTGTAATTGTTCTTCATTAATAAAATTGACAATTTTTCTGGCCCAAAAAAAAAAAAAACTTGTCATCATCTTTTTTATTCCCTATCTAGTTTTTTTTTTTTTTAATTTCATTTTTCTCTCACTTGATAATCTTTTTGGCCTACCAAGCATAATCTAAGACTAAATTAACAGGACCCCCATTGTTTTTCTCCCTTTGCGAAAAATCCTTATACCTTATTCAATACGCGGATAACTTGCCACCAAACTCACTATAAAGGTGTAAAGGCGTAATCATTATTCATTATAGTTCACACAAATTGGTCCAAAAATCACCAGCTAGCTATAGCACCAAAAGAAAATGATAAATAAACAAAAGTTCATTATGGTTATATACTATTAATTACCACATATGAGATAACTCCGATTCCATAACCCGTGAAAAATCTTCCCAGGTCAAGTGAGAAAGAACCCTGCAATATATATATATATATATATATATTTATATTGAATAGAACACATGAGTCCCTTTGGAATACAATAGTTCAATTATATTAAGAGGTGAGGAAAGAGATGAGCTTGAATTAGGCAGATATAGACACACACACACACACCTTTGAGAAGAAGATAGCTAACCATCCAGTGATGCAAAAGCCTGATGACATTCTCATTGCCTGTTTCCCATGAACATTGAAATTAACTTTATGATTTGACATATTTGGATTAGGACAAATAGTTTTTAATTATGAGTCCTCCAATAAAATATACGCACATACATAACCAGTACACATTCAACATCACATGCATATCTGTTTAAAAACTTGATAATAAAACTAAAAAAGTAGCCCGGTGTACAAGGTTACCATCAAGTGAGGTTTAGGTATTGTTAAGATTTGAACCCATGACCTCCAGGTCAGATGGTAACAACATTACTGTTGCTTCGAGGCCCTCTCTCTAAAGATGAATATAATTTTTTTTGTACTTTTAGATAAAACATACCCCTTTCCTGCCCATGAAGTCTGCAACCCGGCCACTAGTTACAGCCCCCAGCATTGCTCCAATGGTTACCAAAGAACCAAACATGGAATACTGCCAATCCATTTTAGAATAAGTTATTAGGCTCTACACGTATAATAATATGAGATCGAAATATATATGAATAACGAGGAGAAACAAAAGTTACAAATTAAACCTCAGCAAGGGAAAGTTTAAGATCTGCTCTGATAGCCGCTTGAGTGGGTGCTGAATACCCAACCTGATGGCATAATAGTAGCTTAATAAGCCAAAAATACAAAAACTTTTCTCACATTCAGTAGTAAACTGTATATATTTTCTTAGGCCCATATGGATCACAATTTGAAAGGCAAAAGATATAGTGAGAGGTCAATCAGTGATCATTTTAATCAGTTGAGAGGAAGCAATAACATAGACTTACACAAGTTCCAAAAGAGAGGGAACCACAAACAGCCACAAAGGTGCTGAGTAAAACCATCGCAATGGATCCATTTTCAACCCTTTTGTCAGCTTCACCATCTCTACATTCTGAAGCTGCTGTTTTGTGTCCTTGTTGGATGAAAGGTTGTTGCAAATCCTGAAGCCCATTGACTGCTTCTCCACTTTCAACGTCCTTGTACTGTTCAATTCCCATTTTAATTTCTAAACAAATTAAAGACTATATAGCCTACAAATAAATAAAGGGCACGAGACAAAAATAACTGCCTAAACCCCGAGAACTCAAAGAGACCAATATTGCAAACAGATGGAGAGCATGCAGAACGTGGTCTGAGATGTGTGCTATTTATACATATATTACGTGTACCATAAACTAATATATATATATATATATATATCAGTATTCATCATGTGGTTGCTATGTATTTCTACTAAAATTGAGAGAGAAAAGGGCATGCAAATAATGGGAGGTTAGAAGCATATATGTAGGAATATTGCAGCTGTCACTGACGTGGCGGTGATGACAACAGGCCAATTTAGACAACCTCAGAACCTAGCTAGAAATTTGTGTTCTTTTTTGCTCTTTCAGTTTATAATATAGAAATAGTAAGTAGATCTTGCGGGTGGGAAAATATAATAAGAAAGAAAGGGGACAAATATCAAAGCCTGCATACACTTTTTTTGACCTACGTACAGCCAAAAAAAAAACTCATCACTTCTGATGTTTATTCAATCTAAATGGACCATATGATGAAGTATATATCTTCACGGGAAAACTCCCTCTTCATACAAATATATGCATTATATATATGATGTGTGATGATTAGTTAAATATTATGATTATTTAAGAAACGGGAAGACGTGCAGGAAATAGATTAGAAGGTGAGAACACACACACACACACACACACACGCACGCACATGATTGGTGTAGTTTATTGAGGATAGCTTAGGTGGTTCTTAGTAGGATGGAAGGTGAGTACAAGTGTGAGTCTGTGGTTTTTGTCAACAAAGAATATAGTATGAGTTTGTGTGTGGAGATAGCCTGTTCTCGTGTTTCAACTGCAAGTGGCCTTCATTGTTTTTTCTTATGGCTTGCAAGTGGTCAGCTTTTTGGATTAAGAAATTTGGTTCTTCAATAATGGTCGATCGCCATTAGATTAGACTATCCTACCTGTTCCCTTTTGTAGTATTAAACAACTTTTTTTGAAAAAAATATTGCCTAAAGGATATGTCTTGTTAGAGCTTTTATATCTTATATTGAAATATTAATTTGTTCATAAAATGCATAAAAAGCTAAAATTGACCAAGTTAATGATTGAACAGTTAAACATAGTCATAACCTAAGCTTTTTGCATTATACTATCTCATGTTTATGTTCTTATAATGTAATTTTATCTCATGTTCATGTTCTTACTGTAAATTCTAGCTTATAATGTAATTTACAGTACAAACTAAATTCTATATTTAGAAATGGAGGTAGTAATTTATAACCTAACTTTGAAGCCATATATATATGTGTATTCCTTTGAAATAAATAACTAAAATTCAAGTATAAAAATAATTAATATGCATTTAGCTTTTGTTGATCTTGTGAAACATTCTGAGTATTGATACTTTCTAATCCCCCGAATATCATACTACTTTATTTCTGTTTTTGATAAGCATAGGTATTTTGAGACAATTTATCCAAAAAGCACTAAATAAATATCATTACTTATTATAAAACAAAATATTATCATGTGATATGACCCACTTGCTTCTTAATTATTATTCCTTATTAAGAGTTCCTTTCTCCATGCTTATAGGACAAGCGACAAAGACAACTTGTTTTGAGCTTCTGGACACTAATTTCTTAGCATTTTTTTCAAACACGTGACGTCTGTCGTGGATATATATTGGTATAATGTAGTAGTATATTCTAATATTCTATATCAGTCTTCATTATGGATTCAAGTTGTCTGACTTGTCTCTATTATCGGCTGTTTAGTCATATTCATGCAATTTATATGCCATAATTATGATTACGTCCAATTAATCAAGCAAAATCATTAGATCCCATTTAGCCTTTTATGGTTACATTTCTTTTTTATTTTTTTATTTTTTTCTTTTCTTGAGACTAATCTCAGAAACCGGCCAAAAATGGAAGATGGAAGATGACATGGAAAATCAATCCATGAACGAACAATTTTTTTTAAAGAAAAAATAAGGGACCACGGCGTCATCACACGTTAATAATTTGCATTGCCTTGTTGATTGTTCGGTGTGATCGGAAACTCTGTCATAGCTTATTGTGTCCAAATTTGATTAGGTGATGATGATATGTTATTTATAAAATTGCGTTCAAAATTCGGATCTTTGAGATCTAAAATGAAAGATACTGATCGAATCTCCACCATGCGATCACACCCCTGCTTCTTTTATCGATTTTAATTTTATTTTAACGTAGTATTCTATTAATTTTAATCCAAATTTTTACTTCTTTTCAATCTACTTCTGAATTCACATATATTACTTCAAATACACCTATCAACTCACTAAACTAAATGAAATCATTTCACGTAGCCCCTCCGTAAATCAACTCTGATAATGAACTTGACTTGGATCACAGATGGTGTTTGGATGTATCCGAGAGCCGTCGGATATGGATTTGCCCTCTCTCTTCTCTTGTCAAGATGCACATAGTAAGCTACCAATCGAATGGATTAAATCCCAAACTATAGCAAGAATTGTACAAGAAGTTGACTAAATTCCCATTATTGCATGGAATTCAAGTGGTCATGATCACAATTAATTAGCACTTGTCGGGCATGAACGTCCGTCCAATTCAAGTGATATGACACAAATTAGAACCCAAAATTAAGCTTATAATTTCTATCTAAATTAACTCACTAATGATAACAACCCTATACCATATTTTTGTTGTGTTTAGTGTACAACAAATATGTACCAACCCAGTAACCACCCGCAAAATTTGATCCATCTATGAATTGCTGAACAGGCACCTTCTAATGGATACTGCGAACTCACCAACCCTCCCAGGATGAAGGAGGGCAGCACAAACCCCAAGACACACAGCAACTGAAGCAATCATGAGAATGGCCGGCCGTGAGCACAAGAATCCCCTAGCAAGATGTCGATAACCAAATGGAGGAGGCAACTCTTCCATGTTCATTATAATATCACTACCCAAAAGAGGCATCCTTTCACTTTTGTCAGCCCAGATTGGACTTCTCACCCCCAATTTAGCATCTGCCCTTGACTCGGCACCCTGCAAATTATATCAACGAAGAAAATACATTTGAGTTTCCAAATCAATATCACTATATCTTGCATGATACTATGATTAGTACAAAACCCTTGTAGACTCCGTAGATTTGATGGCAAGGATTGTTTAACGAGAAGCAACTTCTGGGAAATTGACATCGAAAAAGCTAAATCGTTTTAAACAAGCTGAATGCTAACATGAAACAACAAAAAGTCACATTCTTCATGGCTTTTAAATAGTGAGACTTTTACTTATTCTATTTTAAATTGATGATAATATTGATATTGATAATAATATCATGAATGAAACCGTACATAATTTGTAGTGGAGATCAAAAGCACCGAAACATCAACAGAGAGCTTGATTGCCCACAAAGAGGCAAATTAGTATAAGATCCCCAACATGAGCTGCAAGAGCACAGTTTAAACGTTCAAGATTTACATGATTGCCAGCTTCCATCAAGGGATAAAAACTTTCTGATTATGTTAACTGCTCTATACATAATCACTGCTCCCCTACAATGGCATTCTGTCTGCCTCCCTCCTCCTTTAATTAAAGTTGTGTCAGTTTCACACATATTTCAAAATCAAGTTAACTCAGATCACTTCTAGTGCCACATAATACTTCAGATTTAATACGCATGGTCAGGTCATCAGGTATTCAGGTCTAATACAAATTCCACAATCTCAAGAACTCTAACAATTCGACTGCCTCTAGTTTGGAGCGGAGTTACTGCAGCTTATACTAAAACTAACCTGTTATCTATCGTCAATCTAAACACAAGCAACCCAATTTTATTCTCCCTTATATAACAAAAACACCATCAGGTGCAAATGAAAAGCAAATCTAAAAACTAAAATGCCCTCATAATTTATCAATAGAATATAAAGACTAAAAAAATAAGGTCCAAACCTGATTGCTGATAGTGACAACTGATGGTATGTTATCTTGATAGCAGCTTGGAGCAACTTTACGGCCTTCCATTTCAGAAGAAACAGAGTGCAAGACTAAATCTCCACCCCTCTGATGTTTCTGATAAAGGAACTCTCTAGCTTGACATGTGTGTTTCAGCAATAATGTCACGTCAGCCTCACTCATTCTGTTAAGCACATTGTTCATTTCCATGCTTTCAGTCAAAATATTCAAATTCCGTAATATTTTCTCCAAAATGACCATTAATTCATTGCACATCAGAAAGTCTATCAAATAACAAAATCTTTGAATTTGTGAAGCTGTCATGGCTCTCTGAAAATCTTCTGAAGTAGGATCCTTAAGCAGCCATGCTATATCTAACAGTAAGTCTGAGTATGCTGTATGTCTCAGTGCAAAAGCTTCACAGAAGCTGCAAATAGAACTGCCAGACGCAGCCTGCATTTGTTTCGAAAGAAGAGACATGTCTAGTTTTTGCTGCATTGTCTCCAATTCAGAGCAGGTTTCTGCGTCCCCAATGAGCACAGGAATGAAGTTTGAGAGACCAGACTCGTTCTCCACCTACAGAAAAGTTAAGAGAAAAATATGAAACAGGAACTGTGAATGAACAAAAAACACAACAATCTGAGAAAATTATGATGCTCTTTTAATGCCTTGATAATTATTTCTCTAGAAAATGAACAACCCGTTATCACATGGATGGAAGGGAATTATCACCCCTCTTCTGTTGTAACCCTTTTTTTTTTTCCTTTTGTGATCAATTGATTTACAGTTTCTACTTAAAAAAAAAAAAAAGAACAAACCCAAGATAATGAACAGACCCTGAATAATAAAAATGTAATTCCAACCCAACAGGCACAAAATACTCTAGTCAGTGTTACTGAGTTTTGACCATGAAAATTTTTTTACAAAAAAAACATCAAAAGTTTCTAAATGGGAGAGAGATTCATACTCAACAGGCTCAGTAGTAATGATAATCAACATAAGATCTCAGCACTGGAAGCATAGCAATCCAAATCAAAAACATCCAGGTCACCATTTAGGCAAGGCTTGAAAGAAAAGAAACCAAACAATGTCTACCTCAATAAATGCAGGTCCAAATATGTTTGGCTCTGTATGTGGGACACAAATCTTGTACAACTGATTGTCAAAAGCACAGGAAATGCCATCTCCTGCCCAGTTATGAGGAGATGCAACACAATATTCATACTTTAAATACTTTCCTGAAAAAGACACCAGAAGCCTGCCATGATAAACACCATACAAAAGTGAGGGGTGCACTGACAAACGAACAAGAATATTAAATGAGGTGCGAGATAACAATTTAATGTTGAGTGGTTAAGTTTATATTAACAGATTTGAATGCCAAGAAAACCTTGAAGGCATGATAAACTTGGGGAGAATTTAAACTTTGCAACAGAATTAAGTATGACAACAAAAGGAACATATCAAAAGACTGCCCCATTAGGAACTAATAACGATACAAGAGGGGTGTTGATTGCGAGGTCTGAGCATAATCCCATCCCTACTACTCAGCCACTACATTTTACATCCCCCTCTCCCTTCCCCATCCCTTCTGGAAGTACCACCACTTTCACATTTCTAAGAACTACATACGTAATGCAGCGTGCACATAACGTATTTATGTTTGTGCCAGTATATAGTATGGGAAAAAAAATCAACAATAGTTGACAATAATACTGTAGAAGAGGTGATAAGTTCACACCGAAACTTAGGCTGTAGCAAGTTACTTCCACAAGCAACAAATTCCATAGGTTTTCCAGCCTCAAAGTATGTGGGATGAACATAGTGAAGCCTTGGTGCATGCACCTTTATCTGAACTTCCATCACAGTAGTTTTATCTGAAACATTCAAATCTTCCGATTATTTTTTACAATTTGAGAACTTTAAAACTCAGCTGAAAAATTATAACCTTCTATAAAATATATTAGCTAGATTTAAAAAATTGAATATCATTTATAAATACTTTCAGTTCACAGTTTTGCAGAAAAACGCAAATGGATAAAACCTGAAATGTTAAAAATTTAACTGGAAATTTTCAATGCCCAAGCTGCATGATTTATTCATGAGCTGATGAAAATACTTTCAATGAAACTGTCGAATCTAAACAAAGACCACAATTTTGAGGGGGAAAGACTCTAATATAGCATCTCACAAGTCACAAGCAATGAAAATGAAATGTAAACCGAAAAGAAAATATAATCAGTTAACTGACAGGTGAGCACGTAGATCATCAACAGACCTTTCAAAACGCAGAAGACCATGTCATTTAGATGAACAAATATGGTGCCTCTTCCACATAGCATCTTTCCTGGAGCTACTATGTCTTGCACATAATACTGAGGGTCTTCAAGTAACTGCACAATCCATAAGAGAGGATGAATCAAAGAAACCATGACAGGCTCAGTAAAACACTGTAAATTGAGCAGGTTAAGTAGAACTTTTGGAAGTATATTATCCATGACAATCAACTTCTTGAAGTCTAGAACACTTAAGGATCACAAACAACAAAGTGGCACCTCCAAAACTAAGAATATATGGGACACAACATAAAGGATAACCAGTTAATCCTTACACTTGTCCACATAAATTTAGGCATAGTAACAAAAACTGTCAGAATTGTGCACCCGGGCCGGATATAACCCTCCAGCTCAACAGGCATACTGGCCAACCACTGGAATATCTGCAAGCACATTTGACTGCATGTTAATCAGTTAGCAATGTCGAGACAATAAAAGATCTGACCACTATATAAATACTAAACTGTAATAACAATGCTTTAATATACTTGATGCCGTAGCCTTCTAGGAAACTCCGCAGGATTCCAATCATAAAGCTTAAAAGATACCCGACCTGTTGGGCACTACAAGTAAATATTGGATCAGCAAATCCCACTCAATTCTCATATGAAATCAAATATTCAAAATATATAAAGGATACAAAGGAGAAACTTACCATAGACGAGTAAGCACTCTTTACACAATACGATGGTGAATAAGAAATGTTAGAATTCTCTTTTCCACCATTCACTTGTGTTTCACCGCAAGCAACAAAGGACCCAAAACTATCATTTTTAATGTTCAGGGTATCAGGAGCCGAAGATGGCGCAGTAAGCTGTCCGTCTTCATGCTCCAGGGCAATTTCTATGTCATTTATCTCACTGCTTATATGCGAACTATCTGCAAAGTTCGAGCATGACCATTAAACATCTTGTAACATAAAAACACACTTTTTGCATCAAACTATCACTGGAATGAGTAAAACAATTTACGACACTATAGGGATAAATTGCAAACCTTTTCCCACATCATCCTCAGTCTGTTTGACAGGTTGAACTTCATGATCTTCTGCAGCCCTGGTTTCTGTTGGTTTTCTACGCCTTCGGTTGTTGTGGCGCTCTAATTTTCTTCTACAGCTTCGTTTACCTTCATCAAAATCTGATAATATGTGAAACCTGCCAAGCAAGTGGCAAAGTCAGAGAGAGATTGATTGTGCGAAAAAACTACAGGACTATGACCAACAGAAATCAGAATTGACACTCCACCAGAACTCAAAACTATGTCCTGCACAACCATGTCTCATACAACGCATTAAGTTTAAAACTTTATCACGAAAATGATCCACATGACGAAACCCGAATTACTGCAATTAAGCAGAGGCAATCAAGTAGCGCCATGACGAACCAGGACTTCTAGTACATGTAGAATTTAAAGGATGCGAACAAAATTAGTAGAAAAATGAAGCCACCCAAACCCGCCCCCCTTTTTCCCGGAGGCTAAAGTGATTCTTCAAGCTTAGCGTTATACTTACCTAACGAGCATCGTAAAAGATCCCAGTTCCATGGTTTTATAAGTTCAAGATTATCTATCATGTACTAACATTTCGATTTACAAAAATAACAAACAAACCACATCTTCACCAGACCAGATGTATTAACGAAGAGATGTGCACGATCAAGTTATGAAGCAAAACTTGCATTTCCGTAATCCAATTTAAGCTTACTTTCCACACTGTTGGCAGTATCTCTTGGCCTCTCCATCAAGCATAACCGTACTAGCATTCGCGCAACGCAAACAAACCCTGTGCCTCCGATGATACCCTTTGAGCTCACTAATATCTGCCTCACACCCAGGTACCTGGCACCGTGCAATCCCAGCCGATACCCGCACGGTGCGAGCGCGCTTCTTACCAGGAAAACCTTCTTCCTCAAGCTTAGCATCAAGCTCCGGGCATGCACACGGGACCCGACCGGCCAGGTAATTGGAACAAATCAACCTGGGGTCTCGCTTGCGAACCTTCTCGGAACTAGGAATCTCTTGAGAAGGAGGCTCCAGACTTTGAGGAACCTCTGAATTAGGATGATAGTCGTCTAAGGAGAGAGCTAAATTCTCATCCAAGCTGAAATCTAACAGGCAATCTAGGTCCCAAACAGATGAAGAGTCTTCCGAAAAACGATCTTGCGCCTCCATTTCAGAAACCCCCGGCGGCCGATCGAGGACCGATGGTGGCAGTGACTGCTGCGGCGGCGGCGGCGGCGATGAGGGCGATTGGGCTGGAGTCGAAGTAGAAGGAGCTTGAGTTTCCATTTTCGCGGAGTCCCTGATGGGTAGCTTATGGTAGCGGCGGTGGGTGATGTGGTGGTTGGATGTTTTGCGCGGAAAGGGAAGTAGACGGCGGAGGTAGGTGGTTGTTTGGTGCGGGTGGTTGTTCTTTTGGTCTGATTTTTACGTTTTCTCGGATCTTGAGGGGTGCATGCCTCCGTGGGGTCAGCGTGGCGACACCGGGAGTTTTCGTTCATCACGCGCTCATGCTCCACGCGCATTTACACTCCATAGGAGTTTCCAATTTCCAGTTTTCCAGCCTTTTTGCGGGCTCCGACTACGAGCCTTTTAAATATTTTTTTTATTTAAAAATTAGTTTCAATGTATTCCCCGAAAAAAAAAAATTCAAATATTACCTCCATTTTTAGTATAAGAGTCAGAAATCATTTACATTCAATGGGATATTTTAGAAAAAGATCAAAGACAGAGTGAATTAAAGTCTTATATTTAAAATCAAATGTAACCCCAAATTTGTTCTTATAATAAGAATAAGAGGTAGTATTATTTTAACAATTTTTTAATTTTATCTATATTTAATACATATATATAATTTTGAATAAAATATTTTCTCCATCCTTAATCTAAAATCTAATTAATTAATTTAAATAGATTAAAGATGTTAGTTAAAATAGTTAATATAATATATTTTTTTAAAACACCTTAATTATCTTTCATGATTCCCTTTCTCCTTTTCCTACTTAATTATTATTTAGGAAATATCAATCAGGTTAATTTTAGAAAAAATGATAAATATGTTAAATAAGTTTTGCATATATGACTAATATCAGCTCATAAATTAAATTCTATATTAAGGGTGGAAAGAGTAGCAATCTACATAATAATAAATACATAGTAAAACAGTACAATCATGTTAAAAATTTGATAATATGACTTAAAAATAAAACTGAATAAAATCTCTCTTTTTTACCTTATAAATGGAATGAAAAGGTATTAAAAATGCTTCCTTGGCTTATATTGAAAAGTTACAGCCTTTTACAGCTTGAATGAATCCCTCGCATTCATAAAAATGAGGATATTATTAGGTGTTTGGATAAAAATCATACAGTTTTATAAGTAATTTTACAAAATTTGAAATAAATATATTTAAAAAAATTTATTTTAATTTATATGAAAATATTTTTTTTAAGTGTTTTAAGAACTTCTCAAACACCGAGTATGCGGTGGAAGAGTTCGCGCATACTCATTTTTTTATTATTTTGTAATATCTGAATATTTAGCTGAACTAATGTAACAAATGACACTGGTTAAATTTTTCAAGACCTGGATCTTTTTAATTGAGGCTCTTGATGTTAATCAAGTCTCAGTTAAAAAATACTACTATCTAGCTACTTAAGATAAAACTGAGTTGACTAATTTAATAAAACTAAGTAAATTACTAAATTACTTAATTAGCATATGTTACATGATCTCTTTAAACTACTTATATGCAATATCAAATTGTATATCAATTTATAAATTAGATAAATTAGTTTTAAAAAAATAATAGATATAAATACTTTAAAAATGATTAAATTAGTATTAATTAATCATTGGGTCATGATTTAATACTCTGAGTGGGGAGCTATCATTTAAAAAAAAAAAACGATTGAACATCTTTATTTATTTTAAAAAATTGTATTTTCTTCCTTAGCATTAATGCATTATCAGACCACAATCTATCTCATGATTAATAATATCTCTTGGTTAAGACTTAGTTGAAGAGGAACAGAGTCAACCATCCAAATTCATGAAAGTAAAAGATGCATATAAATAAGAAAAATCTTATTTTAGATACTCACGTTTTTCTCAATTTTTAATTCGATCTCTAGTGTTTATGTATTTTTCTCTTTTTTATTAAGTTATTTTATTTTATTCTGTTAGCACTATGAGCCCTATAACTTCAATTTAGTAGGCAGTAGTATAATAAAATTAAAGAATTTAATAATAATAAATATATGTTTTAACTAAAAAAAAATTTCTGGTCCTATTTATAGGACAGAAAAAGAAATAGTTTTTTTATCATATTTATAGGATATAAAGAGAAAATTTTTATATAACTGTATAATTTTACCCTTCATATAATATTGTGTTGGTTTTATTCTAATGTGCATAATACATATTAAATAGGAATAGAGTTAAAAAGTTGTTAAATTTTAAATGAGAGTTAGGCTCTGTTTGGATAGCACCCCAAACAATTTATAGACCGCCTCTTTGTCTCCTATGTTATTGTTATACATTTGTTATTGTTATACATTATTTTCATTTTGTTTATTTAATTTATTTTTATTTAAAATTTTTTATCAATTTTGATTTTTATTATTATTATATATATATTATTTATATTATTATTATATAGTATATTATTTAGTATATTATTATATTCTAAATTATAAAGTATAGTATAAAGAAATAATTATAAAGATATAAAGAAAAGATTTCTTTAATTCAAAATTCAAAAAAGTATTCAAACTTCTTTTCTTCTTTCTATCCCAGAAAATCCAACGAACCCATCTATTTGATGAAGTAAAAAAAAATCCTATGGAACGGGAATAAATGGATCCATTTATTCACGATCGGACCCAAACCATGGTTTGGGGAAAATGCTATCCAAACAGCCTCTCCAAAAACCAAAACCATGGTTTTGACTCCAAAACCATGGTTTTGGAAAAAGCAAAATTTTTTTGCTTTTGGAGAAAAAAGGGAGAGTGTGAGGGCCTATATGATATGTATCTTGTTATTTTTTTTATAAACATATTTTTTATAAATATATTTAATCTTATATTTTATAAATATATATAAACATTAATTATTATTAATTATATTATCTTATGTATTATTAATTATGTTGGTAAAAAACATATTATTAACAATTTTATTTCTTCAAATTAAAATATATCATAAAATCTATTTTTTCTATAATTATCATATTAACTTATGTCTTTTTTTTAGTAATTTGTATATATAAAAAGTGCTTCTGATAACAACTATCCAAACACTCTCACTTCTCAGAATCACTTTTTTACAAAATCTATTCTTCACAGAATCTATTTTTTCCAAAATCTATTCTCCAGAATCACTTTTTCAAACCACGGTTTGGTTTCATCCAAACACACCCTTAATGAAGTTTAAGAATTTTCTTTATCTATGTAAAATATGTTAAGAGTGATTTATAAAGATGACCAAGAGAGTAGACACCTACAAAATTATTTCCTTTAAAAAGACAATGAAATTACATACCTACTGTTGAAGTGAAAGTGAAAGACATTGCCAAGTTTTCTTACAGAAAGAAACTCTTTTTAAAAAAGGTAGGTCATTTTAACTGTTATTATTATTATTATTATTATTATTACACTACGAGGATCTAGAATACCGTCTACGTTTTTCTTTTTTTTATTCGGTGCCAATATCTGGCATAACTCGCACATTTAAAACTATAGACGTGAGATCAACCAGAATTGGTTGAATTGATAATAAGTCGGCTCATGATTGAGAAGGTTGTGGATTTAAATCACGCTGTTGTTGATATGAGAGTCTTGCTAGTTGATGGTTCGTAAGTGTTTTTATATCTGCTCTATAACCCTAAAAGTATAACTACCTCTTGTTACAAAAAGAACAAAAAATTATATATATGAATTCCACAGCAAAATCTACCCTCCCACACACGCCGACGCAATTATATAAAAATTCTATGCCTTATATTCGGTAAAATCAAGTATAAAAGTGTAGATAATTCTCAGAACACAAATATTTTATTCATTGCACGCTATAGAGTTAAAAATAAAACGCAGCTTGTTTCATGAATAATATTAACAGCAAAATTGAGAATGGAAGTCAGAAGTAATGATGTGAAAGAAGCGAGTGGGGCGGGTAAGGAGAAGAAGGTGTGCGGTTGTTGTTAAAGGAATCAAGTGACGCCATTTTTCCTTCAATAATTGAGCTCCCTTTGCTTGTTTTCTAAAGTTTCCCCCACCAATCAAACAAGATTGTTTCAATGTTTCTTTGGAACTTTTTGCATCATATTATGTTGATAACTTTGTGGATGCCGATTGTAAGTGCTACCTCCGGTTATCATTATAAGAGCTAGTTGATTAATTTAAGGAGATTAAAGAAGTAAGTTGAATTAGTTATTTGTCCTAAATAGGTGTTGTCTTTCCTAAAATATCCTTACTAATCAAGTGTATTGATTAGAACTATCATTATTAGAAGGTTTATTTTGAAAAAAAATGTATAAACATGAGAAACAAAATAGAATGAGATCTTATATTTAGAACTAAAATAATAGTCAAACAGAATCTTATACTCCTCCGGTCCTAATTATAAGACCCAATTGACTTATTTGAGGAGATTAAGGAAGTGAGTTAAGTTGGTTATTTATAATAAATAAATGTTGTCATTCCTAAAATATCCTTGCTAATTAAGTATATTGGCTAAAACTATCATTATTAGAAGGATTATCTTGAAAAAAAATGTATAAATATAAGAGACAAAATGGATTGGGGTCTTATAATTAGGACCAAATAAAAAGTCAAATGGGGTCTTATAATAAAGACCGGAGGAGTATTAAGGATCGGAGGTAGTATAGAATTTTAGAAATAAGTCACTATGTTCTTGCTTATAAACATTTACGGCACAAAATCATCCTTTCAGCAGCTAAATAAAACATACACGCAATATCATGACATACGACTATCTCCGATTCTTAATATAAAATTAATTTAATATTTAATTTGATTTTAAATATAAGACATAATTTATTTTATCTCTTATATTTATTTATTTTAAGATAATTTTTATAATAGTTGCACTTATTAAAAATTTTATCAAATGATAACTCTAACTGATACACAGGATTAATAAGAGTGTTTTAGAAAAAATAACACATGTTTATTATAAATAACTAATTTTACTAATTTCATTGATCTACTTAAATTATTCAATTAACTCGTACATTAAAATATAAGGCCATTTTTATAATATAATTTAGATTATAAAAAATAATTTTATATTTACGATCAGAAGAGTACTATGGTCACATTTGAACTCGCGTCAAGAGAAACTAACAATCGCATGAATTATTTGCCCCATCATCACATGTATTGAATTGGTCATCATAAATATTCCCCGAGAAAAATAGAGTCGTTCTTTTTGAGTATTCCAGTTCTGACTACTGATAAACGGCTAGCCTCCACGTGTTTTGGCGTATGCTTTTATTCAATATGTGCACATATGGATATAATTAATTAATTGGCATGCAAATGCCAGATTAGTCATGATGCTTCACAAACATTTCATTCTCAACGATGTTTAGATAGAAATCAAACCATGGTTTCAGAAGTGTTTTTACGGTTTACAAAATAAATATGTGAAGGAATTTGTCTCGTTTTACGAAAAAATGCTTCTGAAACCATGATTTGGAGGTTGCCAAATACTCCTTCAATTAACTCTGTTCTCATAACCCCTCGCCTAGTTATGAAGTGACAATTTAACACGCATGTCATTTTTTATTTCATGAGAAACATATGTATACCATTTATAAACAATACAATTCATTTAATAACTGAAAACATAGGGCCCGTACTTTTGTTTTATTTTTTTAGACAAGTTGATGATATTTGGAGATAAAGATGTGAGTGAAAAGGCAGGGGACACAGAGAGGACATGATGATGAGAATAGAGATCGAAAGGGGTAAAAAGCACATGGCTTGTTTTTGGGGTATTTAGGATTTGAAGCAAACCCCTTTTTGCTTTTAAACAAAGCGAACACAAAAAGGGGCCGAAATATAAAAATAAATAAAAAGGAGCACCGCGGAATATTGGAACCAGACATCTCAGCCATTTTTAACGTCGTTGTCGCTCTTATCTCGTTCTCACTCTCTTATGCCACTTATAAACTACTCCTCCGGTCCTAATTATAAAACCCAATTGACTTATTTGAGGCGATTAAAGAAGTAAGTTAAGTTGGTTATTTATAATAAATAAGTGTTGTTATTCCTAAAATATCTTTGCTAATTAAGTATATTGGCTAAAACTATCATTATTAGAAGGATTATCTTGGAAAAAAATACATAAATATAAGAGAGAAAATGGATTGGGTCTTATAATTAGGACCAAATAAAAAGTCAAATTGGGTCTTATAATAAGGACCGGAGGAGTAATTAATTTCAATAAACTCACGACAATATATGTATATACATATATTTTGGTCAAAACAAACTCATGACTATATATATATATGCATTAATTCAAAATCTCTTAAATCTAGAAAATATGTGTTTCTAATCTAATTTCGTAATTATTAAAAGTCAGAAGTTGAAACTATTTCATGATTCTCCTGGCTGACGATGACATCCATGCCTAACATTATTAGTTAAGTCTGAAAATGTCATTTTCCTAATGTCTTCCATTCGTATAAGAGAAACACAACAGCAATGACAATAAAACTTTCTGACCATGAGTGAGCGGATAAGGATGGAATTGAACAATTTGTCTAATTTTTGTTAAAATATAATCTCTTCAGTTTTTATTATAAGGACTTCTAATCATTTCACAAGAACTAAAAAAAGTGATTCAATTATTAATCCCGCCTAAAAATAAAATAAAATAAAATATCGATTTTATCACGTTTAAATAAAATTTTTTAAGATTTGTCTTGCATTATCTACCACAATTAATTAACGACTTTAAATAGAAGTGATGGTAAAAAATTGAATTAATATCCCATGAAGTAATAACTTATATAAGAATTTTCATATCCTTTAGAAAAGGATATATCTTGCGACGGGGACTAGAGAAAGGAAAATGAAAAAAAAATGAAATTCCATTTAATGCCCAATGAATATTTTTATTAAAATGTTAGTCAGCCAAAAACGGATCACGCGACTCGCAATGAGGCCAATGGACATAAATGGAACTACCTATTACTATGTCAGTATTAATTATTTATTTAAGATTGAGATATTTTATTTTATTTTTTTATCGCCGATCGTTCTCTAATTATTGGAGGGAAAATTAATTTCCATAATTGGAGTCGTAAGCGACATTGGCTCTCCTGAAATCTGAGGGCCATTGCATGTGCTACCGAGAGGGAACGGGTCTTTGCTGCTTTTGTGACCCCAGATTCCATATGTAAAAAATTTTAAGTTTTCTTATCTATTAAAAACATGTCACAAGATAAAGTAATGTTCGTATTATCGTATTAAAAATAATAATCAGTAATTTAAAATAAAAAATCTGAATGTTAAATTCATACTCTTTTTATCCTTATTATAAGACCCTAGAAGAAATTTTTTATCCTTTTTATAACACCTTCTGATAGTTTCAATGATGATTATTTTTTTTCCCCAATATGTGCCCATATTTAATAAGGCATTGAGAGAATAGAATAATATGATGTTAAACTTTAATGTAGTTAATGAGAGTAACAATATTCTAGTAAAAAAATGAGGGTAATATTAAAAATTACTTAAATTTTATGACAAATTTAATATTTTTAACTACTTTTACAGGTATATGTAAATTAGTTGGTAGTCTCTTATTATTACCATCCGCCAAGTATTCCCGTAAAAATTGAACTCAAGTTTATAAGACAATTAATATATAAAGATAAATTAAACAATAACTTAAAAAGATCTTAAGAAATTATATTTAAAAAAAAGCCTTTTTGGCTTTTTATATTTTTTATGTACTTTTTTTTTCTATGCATAGCTATTTTTTAATCAGATACAATTTTATTCAACATATTGTCAGGTATTAAATATGAACATCTTTTAATAAAAATTTAAATCCTTATTATTTTGTGAGAGATTAATTCTTTTCGCCAAAGTCAATCTAATTGGTCTTTTTTTTTTATGTGCTATTGATATTGATATTGATATGATTCTTATATTTTTAATTTTCAATCGGCTTATAAAGGCCCAATGCATTTCCCATTGAAACGTGATGGTGTTTTCTGGATGAATTGTTTTTTGAGACCCATATATTTCTTGCTTGGGCCTATCGTCACCTTCGTAAAACTTGGCCCAACACATTTTTTTTTTAGCCCAAGGCCCTACACATAGTTAATTGGAATCCGTTTGAATGTACTACATCTTCTTCTGGTTCTAAGTATAATATTTACAAGATTTTATTTGTAGATTATAAATGAGATCTTATAAATTAATCTGAGTGTTGTCTATTAATTTGACCCAATGGTTTTTTCAATCATTTTTTAACTCTAAAAAATCAGTCAGAATTAAGTTAAGCCTGTGCGTTGCCATAGGAATGTCGAAGTACATGTTGTGATTAGTAATTTTTGATCTAGGAAAAAAAGACATTGCTTTTTAAACGGATATATAAATTTGTTTTGTTAGAGCACAATTGACAATAATTAAAAATGTGACCTGTTGTTGAAAAAAAATAAAAAAAATGTTAAAAGTTTGATTCGAAAAGCCCAACAAAAATAAAATATATAGTAATTAATTAAAATATTCAAAAAATTTGAACAAATAAAACGTGTAAATAGTATATATTGCATAAACATTGTTAAAGAGAAAAGAAAAATCCAACGGCACAATCTGATATCCTTTGGACATTTTTATTGATAGAATGTTCAATTTTTTTTTACAGCGATGTTTCTTGAAGCTATATTTGCTTATTTCGCTTGCACAACAGCACAAGCTGCCTGTGATTCTGCCCCGTGGGGCGCGTAGGGTTTCTCTATCTTTCTTATTTCACTCCGAAAATTTGCGCCTATGGCGAGATACCGAAGCCGGAGCAGAAGCTCCAGCCCTCGCCGGCGAAGCAGAACCCCACGGCGTGGACGCAAACGGTACGACGATGAACCTCGTGATCGCTACCGCGAAAGCAGGTCCTACAGAGACCGCCGCTCTCCTGCTCCTTCAGGCTTGCTGGTCCGTAATCTTCCGCTCGACGCGAGGTCAGTTCTTCTTCTTGTCTCCCTCATATTTACTCGTTTAGTGGATTTTTTATTCTGTTTTCCTGTTGATAATGTTGCCATTTTGTTCCTTGTAAATGATCCCTTGGCACACTTATTGTTGGGAGCATTTATTTTGAAGCTCAATAAATGTCTGGAATGCCCATGCAATTGAGAATAGTAACGTGTAGAGGATACTTGCCGACTACGAACCATCTGATCAGTCACTCGCTTTTATTTCTTCTGTTACTAAAAGCATAATTCCGCCCTGGATAAGTGGAAAGTTCCCTTCTGTTTCCATGTCATTTCATTTATCTGAGCAAAATCATAGAATGAGAACATTTTTTTCCCGTTATGCAGGCCTGAAGATCTCAGGGGCCCCTTTGAGCGCTATGGCCCTGTGAAAGATGTATATCTTCCTAAGAATTACTACACTGGGTATGCCTGATCTCCATTCATCATCAACAAAAAGTGAAAGTTCTATTCAGTTATAAGCTTTACTATATTCTTATCTTTCCACTGTAAGGCATGCCAAATTTGTAAACCAGTGGTTTAGCTGTAAGGCATACAAAAAGCATCGTGATTGTGTCAGATTCTTCTGAGAAATAGTATGTTTTCTGGCCACTTTTTTTTTAAAATAAAAAATTATTACTATAAATATTGATCATTAATCTGTCTTCTCTATACTGCTTATTTTGTCCATACATTGCTTTCTCTGATTGCATGTGTATGCTCTCAAAACGCTGAAAAATTTAAATAATTTTGTTGAATTTGAATTATAGTGAGCCCCGGGGCTTTGGCTTTGTCAAATTCCGGTATGCTGAAGATGCTGCTGAAGCAAAGCAACAACTTAATCATACTGTTATTGGCGGGCGGGAAATAAGAATTGTGTATGCTGAGGAAAATAGGAAAACTCCTCAAGAAATGCGTATGAATGGTCGCATAAGGTATGGTGACAGTCTGTTATCTGAACTGCTTTACATTCTTGGCATTTTATTTGTATTCTTTACTGGATCTCCATTTTTTATTGACTTATGTCTTCTTATTCAACTTATAGTGGTCGATATGGAGGAAATGGTAGAAGGAGAACTCCCACAAGATCCCCAAGGCGCCGATATCGTTGTGAGTTTAAACCACTTATCTTTGGGTCTAAATTAGTTTCTTAATGCAACACGTTTGGCTTAATGAGGTATAAGCTTGCTTTGTGAGTAGTAAATATAATAAGTATTGCTTGTAACCTCAATACTTTGTTTTTCCTTAAAGGGACTTGTTATGAGAACCATGTATCTATATAACTATATATATATATATATATATTATAAAACTTATAGGAGGTCGCAGTATTCATAAGTTATGCATAGTGTGACCCCCCTTAGATTTTATGTAGAGCGCATGATCTACATTTTTTTAAAAAAATAATTTTATCAAACTCATCCATATTTAAGCTTTCAATGGGAATTAATTATTTCTTGCAACTTGATCTCATTTTGGTCGCAGCCTACTCAAGGTCTCCATCACCGGCTGGGGATCACACAAGGTTCGAGTCTTACACATTTCAAATATATATTACTTTTCCCATGTATATATCTTGTTATGTTTTCCCTATTGATATATGTTTGAATATATTCATGCATAGTTGCACTCACGCTTTGTTTAGCATTTGTATGATATTATGTTGCATAAACATGTAGTATGCTGAGGCATTGCTATTTGCATTAACTGCAATTCAAAATGTAATCAATAGTATTTTCTCTGAAGGAATATCTTAATTTCAGACTTGTATTGGCTTTAATGGCGTAGGATCAAAAACCTTCTTGAAACGGAGCCATCTATTGTTTATCTCTTGTGGAAAATTAGGAGTTGTGCATTTTCCTTGGGGAAAATCTATCTCTTGTTTGGGTTGACTATCAGCCTTGGTTTACTATTATTATACTAGCGTTTTGATGATGTGTTTCTGGTAGTGGAGGATTTTTTAACAGGCCATGTTACATAATAAATTTGTCGGTAATGATAATACATTTTCCTTGCTGGTTCAGAGTGATAGTTTGTAGGTTTACTGCTTACTTTTTATAGGAAGTTGGGGTGGTATCCAATCCTTGGATCATGATGACTTCCTTGTAACGCGTTCCAATGAAATAAATGATATCTGCTTATTGTCTTTATGCAGATATTAAAGTGAACTGGAAGACTTTAAAGACTTCTGGATTAATAAAGACTAATGAGTAAAGAGGCTTAAAGTGATGTGCTACTTACATTTCTATCAGACTCCCCATAGGAAATTCCCATATGTTTGACTGTTCTACCAGTTGCATGGATTTTCCCTACATTGTGCTATTTGGTTTGTGAGGCTTGCTTATTGAGTGTTCCAGCAAAGGTTAATACCGACATGAAGAATGGTTCAATTACATAGAGTACTTTTTATTTCCTTACATAAATTTATTTTAAAGTAGGCTTTATTAAGTTTAATACGTTGTTTTGCATATACCATCCAGTTTATAAAGAATATAAAGCTTATACTTGGCCAAAGAAAATCATCCTCAAAGAAAGGAAGCCAAAGTTTATACTGGTAGAGAAATGATGACATTGTGCAAGAAAGATAATTGTGATTTTATAAAGTTGGGGCAAAGAGAAAGCTATGAAGTTACGGATGCTGATCTTCCAGTACATCATTCATAACTCTGTTTCGATCCAAGTATCTGTATTTGTCCAAGAAATATGGAAAGGTGCAGGTAAAGGTCATATTTTTAGTTAAATTTTGAAGAGGAAGTGAGTATTAGTTCATCTACATGTGAAAAATGCTCAGAGTTTGGTTTGAATGACTGCATGAATGACTTATTTTTAGTTTATTGCTGCTGCATATATTCAGATCTCTTGCTGATTTATGAGATGCTTCTGGTCTGTGTTATTCTTTCTTGTATATTTGTAACTGTTTTTTCACCAATATCTCGTCAACTTGGTTTCCTGCTGTCAATACAGGGATCATAGGGACAGGGACAATTATTATTCTCCTGAGCGATCAAGATCTTATTCCATGTCTCCTTCACCTCGTGGAAGGAAGGACTACAGGAGGTCCCCAAGTCCAAGGGAGAATGGTCGGAGTCCTGATGACAGGAGGGATCATACACGTAGTAGATCAGAGACTCCCAGGGGTAATGGTCGTAGTCCCTCAAGGTCTCGTTCACGGTCATACAGGTATGGCTTCTGCAGGTCTGCCAACTTGAGTAACCATATTTGCCAATCATTGCATGTCAAATTTCTGCCCATTCCAAGTATGATCCATAACGATCATGTTTAGCCAGCTAAATCCTGGAATTATAACAAGTTTGTGTTAAAGAAATCCATTTCTGCTCCCACTTTGAAGCTGAATACCAATGTTTAACAGAGTTTCAAATTTATGCAGCCATATGGTAAGTAGTATCTTCTGCGTCATGCTGCAAACAGAATATCTGCTTTGCCTCAAGTTTTAATTCCATTGCCTTGGGAATTGAATTAATGTTGGGATATTTGTGCAATGACTGATTAGTTATTCTTCATGGTTGTGCAGGCCTCGTTGATTGGCCGTAAAGCATATCATTTCAGGGTGGCGCTGTGTCTAGTCTTTCCTTGAAAGGGCAATACATGTGACGAATCAAACCTAGATATTTTGAGAGGCAGGAATGTTAATATATCTTAGTCTTTAGCTGACTATTTTGGGTTTTGTTTCGGAGGAGGCTGCTTTATTACTGGTATTTGAACATTTGCTTACATCCTTGTCAACTATGGAAGACTATCAGTTGGTTATTTAGGCTTTGGATTTCTTTTCCCTCGAGTGTTTGCAATCAAATTTCTTAACCTCGTGCGAAATCATTGTCTTGTAATTTTTCTCGGATAGCCGATCAGTATCCAGAAATTCGAGTATCTATATATAATACCAAACCTACAGTAAGATACTACCTCCAGGTTTTAATATAAGACTCTGTTTGACTTTTATTTTGGACCTAAATATAAGATCCTAATTTGTTTTGTCTCTTGTATTTATGTATTTTTTTCCAAAGTAGTTCTTCTAACAATAATAGTTTTAATCAATACATTTGATTAGTAAAGATATTTTAAAAAATATAACACCTATTTAGGACAAATAAATAACTCAATTTATTTTTTTAATCTCTTTAAATTAGTCAACAAGGACCAGAGGTAGTATTATTCATAGGATTCACGTTTTAATTTGGTATTGCACAAGTTATCTTATTTTAAATTATTGAATGCTTGACTACAAAAATACTTGACAAGTATTACATTTATTTATTTATTTCATTTTTATTCTTTATTAAAACATAAGTTGCAGAACTTAAGGTAATAATAAAGAAACAAGTACAGAAGAAAATGCGATTCTATAGTATGAAACTATGGTTAAATATGGACCATTGGATTTGGAAATATACAGTCTGGTTAGTTGGTCGGCATGTTAGAACTTGAAAGGAACGAAGAAAGAACTTTCTATCAAGGAACAAAAAACCGGACCGGGAATTAAACCGGTCGAGACAGTGGGTTAAGGGTTATTGGTCAGACCGGGGTCGGACCGGGGTCGGACCGGTCATATTAAAATAATATAACTAAAATAATATAATTCAATTTCACCATATACCGTATGTATCAATGCGCATAGTCTGGAATTTTCAAATCAAAAAATTACCCTCATAAAGATCAAATTCTCTTCAAAACCATAAAATTCACCTTTCACGATAAGATATCATAGACACAATAATTTTTATATCCAGAATCAATTCAATTCAATCCAATGAAACAAAATCTATATTATTTCAGCAAAAAAAGAAAAATCATCAACGACTTTCGCTTCCTACTTCAAATGTTCAGAGATCAAAATATAATTTTCACGTCCTGACTCCTCCCTTCCCAACCCGCTCGACAGCCAGAGAGAAGGAAGGAACAAAGGCACCTCTTTAATTCAAAAAACACAATCTACCTGAAAGGGAATAGTTTCTAGCTTACCCAAAACTCAACGCACCGAAGGGTGAAAAGATAACGTCGATTGGGATTTGAGGGAGTCCTACGACTTTTGATTTTGCTTCTGCCTTCTGTGAATTGCGAATGCGAGGGGCGAGAGTCTTCCGAGTTCAGAGCCTTAAACTTCTGGTTCTACCTTTTGTAATGGGAGTGGCGAAGGCGAAGTAGGAGGTGGTGATCGGTGAGGTTGAGGGAGACTCAGGCTTGCGACGACTGGTGGCGAAGGTGAAGCAGGGAGCGACCGAACAAGGAGCTCTGCCGTAGATCATGCCGTCAGCGACGCTAGGGAGCAGGGATTTTGGAGGAGGCGATCGCGATTTTGGTTTGAGGGAGGGAGGATAGTCTCGCGAGCAGAGGGGAGTCAGGGGCGGCCGGGAGGAAAGAACCAGTCGTCGTTTTTATTTTAGGGGATTAGGGGACTCGACTGGACAGACACCACTGGACCAAGTAAGCCGAAAGGAAAGAACCGAAACTGAAGTAGTTTTTTTTTTAAAATAAAACGGCGTCGTTTTGAGCGGTCTGGCTGGCCAAAAAAATAAACCGGGCAACCCACTGAACCGGGTTGCCCGGTTTAACACCGGTTTTTTCCGGTTAAACCGGTTTTTCACCGGTTCGTTAGACCACCGGTCCAATAATTAAACCAGACCGGACTACAGACCGGTTCACCGGTTTTCCGGTTGAACCGGCCGGTCCGGTCCGGTTTTTTTTTCCTTGCTTTCTATTCTGCCAAGGAAGAATACAGACATGGTTGCATTTTTAAAATATTTTTAAAAGTAGGTATGTTATAGTGGCAAATCATTGAGACAATTTTGTCTGTTGGATTCATTCCCCGAATACAAGTAATTTTCTTTTAAAGTAATGTCTGATTCATTCCCACAAATTAAATATTCATGAATCGCGATTGAGGATGATAAACATGATATGCTGCCGATAAGATGCCCTTTTATTTTGTGCGTAGTGATTTCATCTGTCGTTTCAGTTAACCCATTATATTTGCTCCAATCTTTTCATTACAACCAAAAGATATCCACATCGTTACAACGCGTTTGGACTTGCGAGAGTTGAATTCATAATAGTCAATGACCCTTCTTTTCTGCAGTTCATTTATTGCAGTATCATACAAATAATAAAACAACAAAACAAGTATTCTCTCTACATTACGGTACAGGCATTTGGATTCTCGTCGCTGAACATCATTAAAACCAAGGAAAAAAAAACCGGACCGGACCGGCCGGTTCAACCGGAAAACCGGTGAACCGGTCTGTAGTCCGGTCTGGTTTAATTATTGGACCGGTGGTCTAACGAACCGGTGAAAAACCGGTTTAACCGGAAAAAAACCGGTGTTAAACCGGGCAACCCGGTTCAGTGGGTTGCCCGGTTTATTTTTTTGGCCAGCCAGACCGCTCAAAACGACGCCGTTTTATTTTAAAAAAAAAACTACTTCAGTTTCGGTTCTTTCCTTTCGGCTTACTTGGTCCAGTGGTGTCTGTCCAGTCGAGTCCCCTAATCCCCTAAAATAAAAACGACGACTGGTTCTTTCCTCCCGGCCGCCCCTGACTCCCCTCTGCTCGCGAGACTATCCTCCCTCCCTCAAACCAAAATCGCGATCGCCTCCTCCAAAATCCCTGCTCCCTAGCGTCGCTGACGGCATGATCTACGGCAGAGCTCCTTGTTCGGTCGCTCCCTGCTTCACCTTCGCCACCAGTCGTCGCAAGCCTGAGTCTCCCTCAACCTCACCGATCACCACCTCCTACTTCGCCTTCGCCACTCCCATTACAAAAGGTAGAACCAGAAGTTTAAGGCTCTGAACTCGGAAGACTCTCGCCCCTCGCATTCGCAATTCACAGAAGGCAGAAGCAAAATCAAAAGTCGTAGGACTCCCTCAAATCCCAATCGACGTTATCTTTTCACCCTTCGGTGCGTTGAGTTTTGGGTAAGCTAGAAACTATTCCCTTTCAGGTAGATTGTGTTTTTTGAATTAAAGAGGTGCCTTTGTTCCTTCCTTCTCTCTGGCTGTCGAGCGGGTTGGGAAGGGAGGAGTCAGGACGTGAAAATTATATTTTGATCTCTGAACATTTGAAGTAGGAAGCGAAAGTCGTTGATGATTTTTCTTTTTTGCTGAAATAATATAGATTTTGTTTCATTGGATTGAATTGAATTGATTCTGGATATAAAAATTATTGTGTCTATGATATCTTATCGTGAAAGGTGAATTTTATGGTTTGAAGAGAATTTGATCTTTATGAGGGTAATTTTTTGATTTGAAAATTCCAGACTATGCGCATTGATACATACGGTATATGGTGAAATTGAATTATATTATTTTAGTTATATTATTTTAATATGACCGGTCCGACCCCGGTCCGACCCCGGTCTGACCAATAACCCTTAACCCACTGTCTCGACCGGTTTAATTCCCGGTCCGGTTTTTTGTTCCTTGATTAAAACTCGGGTGTCTAAACAACCATCAACTTGGTGCATAAACGGGTTCATCAGAACCAGACCCGAATTCAGATCCGTTTTATCACGTTCGTCTTCTGCTCCCTTGTTCTTGTTCCCCACAATCTCCACTTTCTTCCCTGTCTTCTTCTTCAGTTTCTTCAGCACTTTCTTTGGGTCGATCTGACCCGTCACCACCACACGGTGTTTCTTCATGTCTGTTGTGAATTTTTCTACTCCTAATTAACAAAACCAGACCATTAAAATTTAATCATATGATGATCCCATTAATAAAATTCAAACTTAATCATTGTGAGAGAATTGAGAAGACAAAGCAAGTGCCTTTACACTTGGAGATGGCTTTAGCAACACTTCTCTCACATGCATTGCAGTGCATCGACACTTTGAATTCTATGACTATGACCTGACGCCAAATGTGATCGAAAGAAAAGTACCAAAGCAGAAAAAGAGAGAATAAAATCAAATCCATATGGGGCTATTTGAAATTGCTAAAATTTAGTTTAAGGGAGGTCTTACTTTGGTTTGGTCGTGTTTTTGGGACTTACCCATTGAAACAGTCTTCAGATGTCTCATCGGAGAAGACGAAAGCAATGCATTTGGGGGGGGGGGGAGGAAGCGGCTATGGCTGATTTCAAGGAGATTAGTTAGTTATGGCAGTTATTACATGAATCTCGCTGCCCTAAACGATATGATCGCTGGCTTTGCGGGTGATTTTCCCCCCTGGTCGCTTTATTTTAGGGTTAAGATTCTTAATTGCCCCGGAAGTTTTTGTTTGTTCTTAAATATCCCGGAAGTAATTTATTGTAGCAATTATGCCCCGAGTTAACGTTTAGGCAAACGGACGGCTGTAAATGACACGGTGTCGAGAAGATGGACGACACGTTGGTGAATGAGATGGTGACGTGGCACTGTTGTGTCGACAAAATAAAAGTTGATGCCGAAGGTCAATGTTGTCATCGAAGGTCGCTTTTGTCGTCGACATTGAGAGCTAGGGCAAAGCAAAGCGAGGTGGGACGCATGTGAAGTTTGAGAAGAGGACAGAGAAGACCAAAGATCAGTTCTCGAATATATATTTAAGAAGATCAATTCTCGAGTATGTATTCAAGAAGACCATTTCTCTAATATATATTCAAGAATATAGTTGAAAATAAGCTTTGAGTTAGAATGGTGTTACCAAAGGATGCGTGTGATGTGTGACAGTAAAAGACACAAAGGATACGTGGGATGTGCGACAGTGGAAGACACAAAGCTATTTATATTGATTAATATTGATTAGTCGATAAGGGTATTTATCGATTAACAAATCGATAAATGAAGACTTGAATTGTTTCTTTTATTTATCGAAGCCCTAAATACCATTTATCGATAACCTTATCGGACAAAAGTTTATGAAATTGGCTCAATTATATCGAGTAGCTTATCGATAAGTTCATTTATCAAACAGCTTATCGATAAATGACCACCATTTATCAACTTTGCTACATCAGTGTTATTTGGCTCTCCAACATTTACAGAACATACATCCAAAAAAAACAATAGACTGGTACAGCTAGAACCAAAAGAGAACAAGGCCAAGTACAAATACACCTTCCTAAATCCTAAGAAGTGCCATCTAAATACGCCAAATACACTAAGGGTGTGTTTGGATGAAACTAAACCGTGGTTTGGAAAAGTGATTCTGAAAAATAGATTCTGGGGAGAATAGATTCTGTAAAAAATAGATTTTTGTAAAAAAGTGATTCTGAGAAGTGAGAGTGTTTGGATAGTTGTTATCAGAAGCACTTTTTATATATACAAATTACTAAAAAAAAGACATAAGTTAATATGATAATTACAGAAAAAATAGATTTTATGATATATTTTAATTTGAAGGAATAAAATTGTTAATAATATATTTTTTTACCAACATAATTAATAATACATAAGATAATATAATTAATAAATAATTAATATGTATATATATATTTATAAAATATAATAAAAAATATGTTTATAAAAAAAATAACAAGATACATATCCTATAGGCTCTCACACTTTCTCTTTTTTCTCCAAAAGCAAAATTTTTTTGCTTTTTCCAAAACCATGGTTTTGGAGTCAAAACCATGGTTTTGACCCAAAAAGGTTTTGATTCCAAAACCATGGTTTTGGTTTTTTGATAGGTGTTTGGGTGACTTGATCCCCAAACCATGGTTTGGGGTGTCACCCAAACACATTAAACAGTGCTATCTAAATCCCCTAAATAGCAGACTGGTACAAATAATATAGCTATTCCCTTCCTCTCCTTGTATCGAACTTCCTTCGGCTAGAAGAGGCAATTACTGTGTGGTCCCTGTGAACTAGGAGTTGTGAGGTGGTTGAGGCTGGTTGTCCTGACCACATTAGTCCTGGAGGAGTGAATGGTAGGTTAGAAGGAGTGGAAATAATTGCTCCATCACCTCGATACTGGATTCTACGGGAGCCACTACCATTAGAATCAGACATGCTCCGAGAGATCCTTATTGAAAGCTCATTTGGGATGGGAAACCTTGTTTCTATGTCTGCATGGTGCTCCATGTATTCTTCTCCCTCATCAAGGACAACTTGTGAATTCAAGCCACGCTGCATAATGACATTAACAATATAGTTAGATTCTGAAAACATGGAATGAAAAAGGATTATGAAAACAGATTAAACGATCACATACATTGTAGACAGTTCGTCCAGTTTCCTCATCAATCTGGACTCCTATTCCACTATCAACACGGCTCTTGTAGAAAGCCCTTCCACCACGTGGTCTTCTGTTCGTATCAGACTGTTGAGTGCTGGTTTGTGACTGTTCGTATCTTCGCTACCCCCTGGTAGTGAACTACTGGGACCACCACCGGGACTACTACCACCCCTCCTTGCCATCTCACCTCAACCCTAAACTAATTTAAAAAAGAAAATTGCTTCGCCACACCGGATTTGAAAATAAAAACCTAATGACGAGGATCTAATATTCCATACCTTTTCAATCCAGTCGAATCTCTGCTCTGTCCTCTTCTCAGTCTTCACATGCACCCCACCTCACTTTGCTTTACCCTAGCTCTCAGTGTCGACGACAAGAGCGACCTTCGATGACAACATTGACCTTCGGCATCAACTTTTATTTTGTCGACACAACAGTGTCACGTCACCATCTCATTCACCAACGTGTCGTCCATCTTCTCGACACTGTGTCATTTACAGACGTCCGTTTGCCTGAACGTTAACTCGGGGCATAATTGCTACGATAAATTACTTCCGGGATATTTAAGAACAAACAAAAACTTCCGGGTGCTGAGTACTCCTCGGGGAAAACTTCTGGGGCAATTAAAAACCTTAACCCTTTATTTTATTTTCCCAGTTACTAGCAACATTTTTAGTTTTTATAAAATGAGTGAATAGAATTGTCCACTATACGGTCAAGTGCTAAAATCCACCCAAAATAGGGGAAGGATTAAAACACGTGTATCAAATCCGGAAAATAACGATATTTAGGTTTACACGCAGTTGACTGGTTTTTGCTGTCTTTAACCGGTTTTATAACGAAGTTGGTTTTGCGTCTGTTTTGGACTGGGGCCATGGTCCAATTTTTTAAGCTATGATTTTTACATTTTACAAATTAACATTTTTTCACCTCTATCATCCTACACTTAATTCATTATAAGAAAAAAACTTTACAATGAAATAAAAATTAATTTTATTACAAAAATATTTTTTTCTTAAAATTATAGCAGGTAAGCTGAATGACGTAGTTAGCAAATCAGCAAGCGATCAGATCACTGTGGAATTCCTCTACACGAACAGTTCCTAGCGTGATTTATCATGGTAAATCCTAGTAATTATGAATCTCTGAATGAGCTTGAAATCTAGAAATGACAGCAATAATAGGATTTAATGATGATTACTCAAATCTCAATCTGACACGCTACCAGTATTGGTCTTCCAATGGGGATATCAAATCAAAGGATACGAATGAGACCCCTGCAAAAATCAAGTGCAAATGAGACTAAAAGAGCCATTTAGGTCCATCACTTTCCAATCGGCTTCTGATTTGATACCAAGCGTCGGCAGATCCTAGGATGAATTGTGCATGAAACACCATTCAAAGAGGGGCTATATAATATCATCAATTAGAATTTGCCATATATGTACACCTAATTTATATGATTAAGCAAATTCTAGTCCACAATCAAATACTCCTCACTTTCCTGGCCGATCAGTATGCTAAGCACTTTCAAAAAAAAAGAAAAAGAAAAAAAGAGAACAGTGTCCAAAAACTGAAATGGAGTGGGTTTATGACCTAAAACCCACCACCAAGCTGAGAAGGGCAAGCAATAGCCATCCACCTAACAAGCAATGACCGTCATGATTTGGAGCAGATCTACCACCATCATGGATCTGACAAAATAAAAGGGTGAAAAATTAAGAAACATATGCTAAATCAACTTCGACCTAGGCTCCGCCTTGGCATATATTCACAAGCGAGACTTTTGATTGCTTTTCTTTTCTGGGGAGAAGAAATGAATGGCGTGGATGTATCATCATGGTTACTCATGGAGGATAGTGCAGATTCAGAAGCAGACTCTGGATTCTTTAGTCTCTATCCCAGCACAGCCACTATTGCTGGTCATAATGAGGATGACGCTGAATCTTGTAACTATGACACAGATGGTTTGTATGGTCTATCTGAGGTTGGTGATGGTCGTGAGGATGATCAAGATTCTGGTGAATTTAGTTGTCATGAAGATAACATCGATGAATTGGGTTCTCAGAGCTCCATGATATGGCAGTCAGACGGAACCTCAGAATGTTTTTCTCCTTTGCCTGTGGAAGATGAACAAGAAGAAATGAAGATTGAAGTTGATCAAGAAGAAACGAAGATAGGTGGAGTTAATTTCCGTGAATTGGAAGATAGATCATTTTGGGAGACTTGCATTGCAGTGGGGTACCCGTGAAACTTGAATTTTAGATCGTGTGTAATAATCCATCTTGTAATTTCTTTTCCCAGCGCTTGCTCTTTGAAAACAAGGAATGTCATTAAACCTATGTGTATGAACTTTCAGCTGTGTATAAAGTCCTTCATCTGCCTCATTCTCAAGCAGCCCATCTAAAGTTAATCCGTTCGTTTTCGCAGAAAGTCAAGTTTGTCATTCAACAGCCAAATTGTCAGCTAATTTCGAAAAGCTAAAGTTAGTCACAGTATTCCAATCAAACATTCCAAATAACATAACATATCAGGAATACACCATTTGATTTGAAGACCTACAATTTGAAGGTCGCGATTCATCTAAAGGCTTCCCATAATCACCAAGCCAGAGAATAGCTAGTACAGTATCATATTTATAACATAATTGCTGGTTCTCATGCTCTCAGTTTATTCCACAGATGCTTTACTTTTGTTCTTTTTCTTCCTTCTTCTCCCGAACATTCTTGTAGCTACGTCCTCATGAAAATCCGTTAAGATGGGGGAAAAAATATTCATACTTAGGTCAGGATTTTTTCGTTCTTTCAGAATCAAGATGTTTCCAAGGATTGAGAGCCTCTCTGACTGCCTGAGCTTCTGGACAATTCTCCCATGCACGCTTCTCTGACTCCAAAACAGTTACTTTGTCATCTGCATGATACAAAGAAAAATTTAAAAATTCAAGATCCTTGGCAGGGCTATCTCAAAAAGCCAGTTCCCAATATTTTATTAGTATGCGAGATGCGGCTAACAGGTTATGAAATGCAACTTGACCAGTGGAAATGTTGTGCTGTGATGAGAATGAATGAAACTACACTAGAATAAGAGATAAAATCAAGTACTTGTTACACAGTTTTTCTCCCTCATCTTCAAAAATGATTTTGTTACCGGGAATGATGGAAATGCAGCTTGGTAATTTGTTTTAAGTTTTTACACCAAAGATCCATGATATGGTCCAATGTAACAGCAGTATTTCAACATCTAATTTCAATGAAACTACAGTTTCCCACTCAATGACAAATAACATCTCCCAAAAACCTATGATAATAGAAAATGACCGTCCACGGTCACAACAAATATTCTATCTTCATTTCAACTTTCCATTCGAAACATTTAATTTCCACCAATACGCTGGCCACAAGTCCAGTCACATGTTAATTGAAACAGAGGCATAGCATTAACCCCAAAAAAAGGAGGTTTCTCACACAGAAGCCGGTTTTAATCATGAACAACTCCATAGAGGCTCCGACTAAGGCTGAAACAGCCCCAATCTTCAAATACCAGTCCAGAAACTTCATTAAAGCTGCATTAAGGGCAATAATCATTATTATTTAAAATGATAAAAGAATAAAGAGGAATCCCGTTCTACTAAGGAAAGGCAATAACATGATAAAGAAAAGAAGACCACCACAAAAAAGGATTGACAAAACATGACAAATTCGTGCAGCTCAATTGCAGATGATATCTCAATTATCAGATAGGCTGCTTTTAGTGGAAAATAATTACAATGCGCAGCACGGAAAATGCAAGTGCAAGCACACATTTTGTTGCCCTCCTCAATTAGTTAACTGGATCCATATATTCTCTGTTGCTGGGTTATTATTGGAATAACTCCACGCTATCTACATGAAAGCCTTTAATCAACGTGGACTTAAAACAGTCAATCATTTGAATGTTAAACACGAGTAAAACAACAAACTTGGCTCTAGTGCATGCCATAAAATAATCAAGCTTTCACTTAAAAAAGGCGCAGAAGGGAATTAAGACATGAAACGATTCCCCTGATTCCGAATAATGTCAGTGTACATTACTTTTTTTCCCCCATCTACAATCATGCGAGCGAAACATAAAAATAGTCGGGCGTATAGATATATACGATTGATTGGAGCACAAAACCGAGGATGAAATACCTAAGCTACAAATCGCAGGACGGAGAAGATGACGAAGAAAGATCGCCAAATCAGAAAGCAGCGTCCCCGTGAAAGCTGTGACAACGGATGGATCGCTGGCGGGTCATTCGGGTCGGGCTCACTCTTAATGGTATGGGCCTATTGGCATGTCTTGAACAGCCCAAATTTGATTTGAGGCAAATTGGCCCAACAACTTCAAAAAAAAAATCACTTCGGCTTGGTGATTACGAGATCAGCACAATCGAGTTCGATACTCATACATTGATTTATCATGGAAAACATTTTTACAATTAAAAACAATAATTTATTATTTCATTCACTTTCATCACTTATTTAATTATACGCATCATTCTTTTATTGGACTATGCTCAGTAAAGATGTATAAATTATGTAACCTGTAGCAGGTACCAAATGTGGGCAGGTTATATATTAAATAAAGCATGTTGATATTAAAGAAAATGCAGAGAAGTGATTAAAAAAAATAGATAATATTTACTTGTTTGAAATTTTCGGTTCAAAGTAACATAAGAAAGGTAACCTGTCCTTGTCCCCGCACGAATAAAACGTAACGCACGGACTGGGCCGTAGACTTGACGCCCACGTTGACTTTCTTTTCCCAATTATTATTTCTGGTTAGAATTTGTTTGATTTTTATTTTAGTTCTAATATAAGATATTAATCTATTTTGTCTCTTATATTTATTCATTTCTTTTCAAAATAATCCTTCTAATAATGATAGTTCTAGTCAATAAACTTGATTAGCAATGATATTTTAGAAAAGACAATATTTATTTATTACAAATTGCTAACTTAATTTTTTTTTAATCTACTCAAATTAATTAATTAGCTCTTATATTTAGAATGGAAGGTAGTATAATTGTTTTTTAAAGGAATAACAGGCTTCAAACTATAATATAAAAATGTGTTAAAGGTGAAACCATCCCTGGAGTCCGGTTCTAAATGAGCTAGTTTATAATATAATTGATATTATAAATTGAGATAATATAAGAGCTAGGAAATGGTGCAAAAATTCTTAACTTGTAACTGACATAAGAAGTATATTATTTTAACTGATTAATTAATTTCTCAAATTTCATGGAAAATACACAAATCCTGCGTCTGAACGAAGAAAAGAAAGACGAAAAAAGGGGCTCTCATGCTGCCATTAAAGCGGCGGTCAGTTCTAGTGTGAACTGGGTATCAATGAAAGGAACAAGATGGGAAAATGTCCTGAAAGTCTGTTGAGGATAGATAGAAACTTGACAACAGTAACAAAGAAATCTGCTATCTGAATTCAAACTCTCATCTTCTTCCTCCTTCCTCCTCTTAACTAAAAAGAAAGGGATCCAAATAAGGACATGATGCTATTGGGGGACAAAAAAAAAAGAAAGAAACTGATGCTTGAACTGTAAGCAAGGATCTGACACAATCGCACGCCCATTGTGCGTGAAAATATATATATGTGTATATATATATAGAGAGAGAGAGAGGCGACAGCATTATGGGGTAATAGTATAGTACGCATGAGTAGACGACAGTGATTCATCTAACAGCACGGCGCAGAAGGGGAAGGAATATTTGATTTTTCACGAAACTTATTTTTAAATCAAGACTTCATAATCCTATATTCTAGTGCAGAAAAGAAAAATTAGTTTTGGATATGGTTGGTGCAACATGCAAACATTATTGTATTTTAGCTGGTACATTATTATTTTGCATAAATTTGGTCATTACAAGCATTCGAACCTTGTTTTCCAGAGATTCTCCGATGAAGCTGCTGACACTCCAACTAAAATGGATTTAGCGTCTTCCAGGTTTCTTTCCGTTTGTCCCTGTAACTTAATAAACAAAAATAACCACAAAGAATATTTTTTTTCATCGTGCATAATTTTTATTTTCTGTGCTATAAATGAACTTTAAAAAAAAAAGCAAGCGAGAAATAATGTGTTGTTAACTTGTAACTGTTAATTTTTTTTAATTATTGGCAACTTATAACTGTTAATATTGCAATTGCAGTTTGCAAGTGTGCAATGCGCCAAACAAGTGTGAATAATATGATGACAACACCGACTGGTCTGAACCGAACCGGAGTCTCCGGGCCGAACAGTGAACCAAACACCACCTACAAGCCAGATCTTCGAAGAAGCTTCATCCTTGCTCATTTTAGTCCTCCTCGTTCTCTTCTGCGGCTAAAAAAGGAACACTGTTATTCCACGTATGAAGTACTTAATGCTCTCAACGACCCTCAGTTTTCCACCAAATCCTTAATACTTTTGCATTGCTGCTGTATCTCTGTCGGCTTCTTTCTTCCACTCTCTGGGGTTTCCTAATATTATTACTCTTCCTTTTCTTTTCTGGGATTTCCCCGTTTCACAGTTTTGATCTTTGGAGCTGCAAATCATGCAAGCAACTCAAGCAGCCACGAATGAAGGTTCTGATAATTCACAAAAGGTTGGATTTCAACGATTGATCTGCGTAACATTTAAAGTTCTGTGGTTTTAATCACTACCGAAAGTGAGATGGCTATTCTGCTTTTCTTCTAATTCAATTCATAACTAGTGGATATTTGCAGAAGCTTGAATCCAGTAGTGTTTAATCTTCAGTTTGTTTTTCTGCAATCTTGTGGCTGGAATGGTGTAGTTGCTGATTGATTTCACTTTTCCATATCTGTTATAATTGATCCAGTTGAAATCAAGGGGTTTGTAATTTCAGCTTCTCCTATGCTTGCTTGAAACCGTTCCTGCAGGCTAGTCCCCGTACTAAAATCCCTTTCTAGATTTGCGTCCTAGTTTCAATGCTTACCATGTTTGGGTTCGGATATGGATTTTCTTCTTTCCATGTCACCGTGGACTGCCAGACCAAATTGAATAATTTTATGCTTAACTAGCTACGTTCAGAGAACATATCATGCATAATCTGCAAATTGCTTTTTGGTTTTCATAAATTTATGTTCAGTGAAAATTTTAGTTCTAAGAGGATGAAAGAGACCTATGGGGGAAAGTTTGCCCTTAAATTGGCGAATGAGAGAACCTGGAGATAAGCGTGTGGGCATTGGTATGGTGCCAATCCCTTAAGTTGGTGAGCCATTCATGTGTTTGCTCTTGATGTAGTTGACAGAAAGAGTTCCGGAAGTATACAAGTTTTTCTTCTCTAATTGAAAACGTGTTCTTAAAGATGTTTTTTCAATGCGCAGACTGATCTTCAGTTAAACAGAGAAGTTTCAGACAATGGACCAAGTGGGAGGCGGCCAGATATTTCACTTCAAATCCCACCGAGACATGTAGGTTTTGGAAGTACACGTGGTGGAAGGTCTCTGGACCATTCTCAAAGCTTCTCTAAAGGGCTTCCATCACCACGAGGCATTTTGCGGGCTTTGAGCCTCAAAAGGAAAGGCAATACAGCAGATGCTGAAAGAAGCAGCCTCCTCAATTCAGACCCCAAGGCAGCTCCAGACAGTCCAAATTTGGCCAACTTTCCACCCGCAATTTCATGGAAAAGATGTACTTCTCTTCCTGTTACGCCTGCTACAAATTTGTCCCCTTCAGTTTCTACACCTGCTTCTGCAAGGACATACAGGGAACAACCTAAACGCCATGTAAGTTTCTTTCTACCTCCTGTGCACTCCTCGTTCGTGGGGTTTCAAATCCTGTCCACATCTGGAGCCATGGGAAAGTTTAATTCATGGCATCAAACTTGTTGATTTAGACATTGAGTCAAGCTTGTGTTTAATGCATTTTAAAACTATTTTAACATTAGCACACTGACATTAGTCTTTGCCTGAGGAAATTGGCATTTGTGATGGTGGAAAACCTAATGATTCTTTTTAATTTTGTGCAGAAAGATGCGGTTGCTGCTGGTTCCCAGGTTTCAAGGTCCCTCTCTGTGCCTGGGAGGAACATGGTTATTGTAAGATCTTTGTCTTTTCCTGCCCGGAGTGAGCACGCACGGCAAGATCAGAATGATGGTATGTTCTATATACTCTGTTATTGCTGTTCCATTGTCTGACTCCTTTTGCCATGTTTAAATTCATGTGCTTGAATAAACTGTCCGTTTTTAATGTTGGCATTGGCTAGAAAAATGGGTGAACTTAAGTCAAATTTCATTCTACTTACAGTTTTCCTCCCTCGTCATATTCATTTGTTCAATGAATTTAAAACTAAAAAAGTTGTACGTCTTGTTGTGGCCTCTTCCTTATAGAGGCTTTCGATTAAATGATTTAACTAAGAAAAGACAATTCTAAGATGATTTGAATAATTTAATTTGGTAGACTTTATCATAAGTGACCACGTCAGAAGACATCATATTCATATTTAGACAGTATTATAGTGCCGGACTCTAGTTTAATCTCTGAAACTTTATTGAGTTATTGACACCTGAATGATCCAGTGTTTTGCACAAATTGCACACAGTCAAATAGGAAAATATTTGTTTTTTCATATTTAACGTTGGTTTCTTGGCAAACCAGATCAAATAACTCCTGTGCCAGTAGAAGATGCTGATGAAGAAATTCCTGAAGAGGAAGCAGTTTGCAGAATCTGTTATGATGTTTGTGATGAAAGGAACACCCTCAAATTGGAGTGCAGTTGTAAAGGCGACTTGACACTTGTTCATGAAGAATGTGCAATTAAATGGTTTACCACAAAAGGAAATAAGAAATGTGATGTTTGTGGCCAAGAGGTTCAGAATCTACCTGTAACACTGCTTCGTTTGCCCAGCTCTGCTCAGACAGGAAGGAGACAGGCGCAGGGTCAGCAGAACATGAATCCTGAGACGTTAAGGTGATTCGACAGTCATATCCTCAAATTTGACCTGTTTTTCTACTTGAGAAGCATGGGTAAACTTGCCTTACATGATTGTTGGTGTCCTTTTAAGCATTATAATACTTACCTTTATGAGTTTAAATCAAAATCCAGGCTGTAAGTGTCTGTGCATTCACACATATGGATTTCATCTTCTATTTATAAGAAATTTTCAAGAATTGTTCTTAATTCACCATTAACTTGGCTGATAACAAAGTGATAATTTGGAAACTTATTGTCAGAATGAATTAATGGGTTCTTCTATTTCTAAGCATCTAACTCATCAACTACTGCACAGTAACATTTTGCTGATTCATTATTCTCTGTTGTTCTTTTTACAGTGCTTGGCAAGACTTCGTGGTGCTTGTCCTAATAAGCACAATATGCTATTTTTTCTTCCTTGAGCAGCTACTGGTATGCCCGTTTGCTATGAGGGAAAGCTTATGGCAATCTATTTCATGGTTATAAAAACTACTTTTGTTGTATTATCTCATTCTTATTGAGTGTTGTTTTCACTTTCTGACATCCACTTGATAATCTCTTCCAGTGGTTTTTTTCCATGTAGATATTATTATTTCTTTTACATTCTAAATGACTAAAGGAGATATAGATTTTCCTTTGTTTGGAGGGGTTGGGAAGAGAAAAGAAAGAACCACAAACTGCTTATGCATTACAGTATCGTGAAATTAAAATGTCTGACTGGATATACCTTAGAAGTTAGGGAAATGTGATTCTAATTGTCTATATTTCCCCCAAAATTTTAATGTCCAATCATGTTCGACCAACACGATATCTGTTTCCATTTTGTAGCTTCCTGACATGAAGACTCAAGCAATCATTATAGCAGCACCATTTGCCTTTACCTTGGGTCTCCTGGCATCTATTTTTGCGGTCATCCTTGGTATAGTCTCATTAATAATAAACAGCACGCCATTTTTTTCCTCCTAATTTTATTTTGATTACTGTTTGAACGTTTGCTTGTGTTGCTTGCAGCAATAAAAGAGTATATATGGACATATGCTGCTCTTGAGTTTGCTCTTGTGGCTATAACAGTACACCTGTTCTATACTATGGTGAGTGGACTTTCTCGTACTCATTCTGTACTATGCCATATAGACCAAACATGATGTTGCACAAGAAGGGGAATCAAGGAAAACAACCAAAATCTACCGCAATATCTTAAATTCATGTGAATAATACACAAGGTGTAATTTCCTAACAGAGATGGTAGGTCTATAAATGATCTGAGTTTTGAGAAGTGTTCATCTACCTGATCTTAGAGAGATAGAAGTTGGAACTCTATATTAGTGACTTTTGAGGTGACACTTTAGTGTTCAGTTCCCTGAAGATCTTTTCTCTTTTTGTCTGAGACAATCCCCTGGTTTATCTGGAACAACTGTTAAATGGATCTTTTCATGTAACCTGGTTGCATTGCAGTTGCACTTGAAGCCCATTTACGCAATACTGCTTTCATCAGTTTTGGGTTTTGGTATGACTATGAGCATCAACTACGCATATATCCAGTATGTTTCTTGGCGTCTGCAAGTCTCCCAGGATGCCAACCCAGTATGAGTCTCCTCAACATGGATTTTTCTGTTTATCTACTGACGTCACGATCGACCCTGTGTTTGCCAATCAATCAAATGCTGTATCCTCTCTCTCTCTCTCTATATATATATATATATGTATGTATGTATATGATGAAATGTATAACTATTGGAAGGCAAGGGAAAAAAACAGATTGTCTGGACTTTTATGTTTAGGCAGTCTTTGTTGCAAAGCGGATTTCACTGTCAATATCCAAGATGAGTAAATTTTCTTGCTAATGGATGCTGTATAGCTTTCTGTTCATCAATATACGATGATGTTAGGTAGGCCACTGGCTCCATCTTGATTTTGATTTTGTTCTACTCAACAAATTCGGTGTGGGAAAAAATAATAGAAATAGAGAGCCGCCAGATTTAGCTTTCCTCAAAGCTTTCATGAAGAAACACATGCAGCTATGAAGCGAAAAGGACGTCAGCTTTTCCTCTGTGGTGTTGCTGCATTCAACCTCTGAAAAATAGGTCTGCAAAGAGTCGATGCCGGCAACAGAGAGAAGCAGATCAGAATGAACGACTGAACGAGATGGCGCAAAAATTCCTACTTCAATTTCCTCATGAGACTTGAAGAAATGATGATAAATTTTCTTAGGTCAATGATATATACTCCCTCCGTTCCTTATTATAAAAAACATTTGATACTTATGGCATGTTCCTATATATAAGAGACACTTAAAAGTTGTCTTTATTTTTTTGTGTTGATTTTCTATTTTACCCATATTTATTGTCTCCAACTCACACTCTCTCTCATTTCTACTTCTCTTTTAATAATTTACCATTGTTCTCTCTCCTTATTAATGAGGGTATTTTTGAAAAAAAATTATATTTTTTACACATTGATTATTCTTAACTAATTTTAACTGTTTTTTTATCAACGTAATTCGGTTATTCGTCTCTTATAATAAGGAACGAAGGGAATATATATATATATAGTTTTCCGATAAGAACGTACCATCTACTTATTTGAAATTGTCAGTCATGAAATGTTAATCGGTAAAAAATATTCATACCTCATTTCTTCACTACAAAGATACTAACCACAAGCTGGCAATATATGCATTAGTGCATCACTTAATAGAACAGCTACAAAACAGACTAGTCATATATCTAACGCCCGTATAGTTGACAGAGGGACGACCCGAATTGGTCTGTTCATCAATAATAGCATCAGACATCATGAACTCGTTAAATTTGATGAAAACTAAGAATTTCTCTTACTCATTAAACAGAGAATCGAACAAAAGATTCGAGTAATGAGTATCATTACAGCCAAAAAAAAAAAAAGGAACCATTTACGATCCTAACAACCGGGGAAAGACATAAAACTTACATGTTCATGCATGTAAAAATTTCCAGATAAATTATTATCCAAATGGAACCAAATGACATCATTACACAGGGCAGCCATTACCTTTTTTTAAAAGAGAGAATGTCCAAGTTTAACATGGCCTTTGTCGAAGAACTGACAAGCTAAAATAAACAAAATACTACGAAATGCTCACGAGGAGATAAGAGTTCATTGGCTGTTAAATGGCTCGGTCTTATCGAAACAGTTGGCTTTTGCAACTCGAGTCCTCTGCATTGATGCAGTGTCTCCAGCATAACTGTCGCGATGAACCATTTGGTTTGTCAGCGAAAAATCACAGGAGGCAACAATCCAAGAAACCTGGAGAAGAACTGAACATCACGTCGAATGGACCATAACACACATGAAGAAGGCGACTACAAGAACAGAGAAAGGATGATCGAGGGATGCAGACAAAGCGCAAAATCATCGGAGCCGTGGTGGAAATGGATGGCAAAATCACATTACGGACTCACGAAGTGAGCATTCTTTTTGGACGGTGCTGAATACGGTTTTAAAGAACCTCCGCACACCGTTCGGGCATTTGGTCTAGTGGCATGATTCTCGCTTAGGGTGCGAGAGGTCCCGAGTTCAATTCTCGGAATGCCCCGTCTTTGTAATTTTGCTGGCAAAATCAACTGGGCGTACTTGGCTTTTATTTGATTTTTATGTTTTATTGGGTACGCGCGGTTGTTGGGCACTGGGCACTGGGCACTGGCGATTCCTGTCCCTCTGTGATGCTATCATACAACTCGGCCCCTCCATCGTTTTCCCGTGAGTAGAAATGTAGAATTTCCGTGTACTCTTACAATAGTTACAATACCGAACACGGAACAAATTTACCTTATTAAAAACAAATTATAGGCGAATTTTGTCAAAACATAGAACACAGTAACACCCAATGTTCTATGGACAATGAATTGGATCAAGTTTTTCACCCTTTTTCTCTTTCTAGTAGTGGTTACTTAAAATCAAAACTAAATGTTTCACAATCCCTTCGGCGCATGTCCAAAAGGTGACAAAATGGGGTATCAATCATATAACGAGGGGGTTTGTACTTCATCTCCATTTCTACAACATCCGAGCCTCACGTATTGAAAACAAATAGAAGAAAGATGAAAACAGAGACAACTTTTCTTCATTGCTCAAAAAGTCAAACGCCATAGGCACGTCCTCGTCTTACAACCCACAAAGTTATCTCTCTCTGTTTTTTTTTTTGGGGGGAGGGGGGAGGGTTTAAAAAAAGCCATAAAATATGATTACTTCTAGGAAGTACAAGGATGTATGGTTGGTTAAACTTTCACCTGCATCCTCTCTCCTGGCCTAGCTCTTATCATCTCGCAGCAAAATGAATAGAACCTTAACTTCCTATATGCTCCGTATCACTAACAACCTTGACTTTCAAATCCTTCCATAAACAGCAATCTATTCAAGATTTTCCGGCAAAGATGCAGGATCAAGTTCAAAAGATCCTTTAGGGACACCTACTCTTTCCTGACCAGTCATTTTAAATGAAGGAATCCTATGAGAGAATCTAAATAACTCCACCGATGGAATTTGAAATGAATCTTCACCGTTCTTGTTAGCTCGAGTGAAGAGGCTCACAAAACCTTTCATCTTCTCCAAGTATGCAACAGATACCTCCCCTCCTTCAACGTAATCCGACAAAACTTCAACAAAGTCAAATTCATACTTTTGATGAGATTCCACATCAGTGTACCATTTGATATCCCAATTTTTAAACAGAGCCCAAATCTCACCCTTCCTAGGATAAACTTTAAAAGTACTACGGCCAATCTTTTCACACAAAATCAGATGTGAGAACATAAGACGATCTTCAGTAATTTCAGTGTTGCCAAGCACATACTTCCCACAAGCAACTGGCAGGTTATTTTCTACCCAGTTGATTTCATTTTCATCATCTGGCTCTGCTTCAAACCATGTTATTCGCAGCTTGAATCCGGGAGAGAGGACTTTCCTGATCAAAGCATAGAATCTCGGCATGCCATCAATTGTGTCATATATAGCCCAAATCTGTCCATTCGCAAAACTACCTTCTTTCTTGTCCTTTTCAAAGTCACTGAACTCTGCATCAGGATAGACAAAAAAGGTTGGATCTTCTGCTGCTTCCCCTGTCCCATTTGAGCACTGGTTTGCCTCTTTTCCCCTCTTGTCCAGAGTTTCCTCATTTCTCTTGTGTAAGCTCTCTTGTTTCACCTCTTTCTGATCATCTTTCAGGTCAGCAGCTGAGCCATTACGGTTATTCATTTTAGCTGTCTCCCCATTGTCTTCTTCCGCACCACATGAGCCACTTCCCTTGGCCCCCATTGAGGGATTTAGGTCATCATCATCATCACTTCCATTCTCATTATATACAACCTGAGGCTTAGACCTTGTAGATCTACGTCGATGCTGTTCTCGGCCTCCTTGTTCACCACGAGCACCATCCTTGTCAACAGCCATATCATCTTCAGAATCATTGCTGTCTGCGGAATCAGCACTTTCGCTAAAGTCTGCTACCCTCTTCCTCTTTCTCTTTCTATTTGGTTTATCAGGGATGTTCGGGCCTTTTTTCACAGAAGGCTTTGTATTGACGTTCCCAGTATTCATACCCTGGGACCCAACATCAGCACCATGATTTAAACCATCTTTTTGTTGCCCAAAAGCTTGACGACTTGAATTAGCTGCTACTGATGTACCAAGCAGATATGCAATAAAGGGCCTATGACAAGTGTGACAGGAAACAGATCTATTCACAGCTTCAAAGTGAAACTCATATCTACTATTACAAAATGGGCAAGCAGTCCAAAATGTAGGGCGGCTACCATTGGGTCCCTGCTGTGTAGACTGCCTAGGCTGTTGCTGCTTCTGAGGATTCATGTTGGGAAAATTCGCCCTGACATTGTTTTGCACCCCAGCACTCACATTTGTATGAAACTTCTGTGGTGGATGATATGGCTTTGTAGTTCTGTTCATAGGAACTTTGTACTTCATGTCAAGTATAGCCCGTTTATTTTTGTCCAAAAGTACCCTTTGGGCTTCCCCAATTAGTTTAAATGCAGCTTCTGCACCGGAAAACTTGTTCTTGTCAGGATGAAGTTGGAGGGCAAACTTCCTGTATTGTTTCTTTATCATTGCCTCATCAGCTGACCGCCCAACTTGAAGAATTCCATACCAGTCCATCTCATTCCCAAACAATTTCTGCTCCGCAGAGCAATGCACATCACATATAATAAGCATTTGAGTTATGTTCTCCAGATCAGGATATAGTTGCTGAGCTTTAAGAGCAATTTTACGAGCCCCAATGAAATCTTTACTTTCCATCTTCTTTTCAGCAATTACCTTGGCCCGTAAGGCCTCTTCTTTATTGCAGTCCATCAAAAATCCAGATAATAAAACTTCAAAGCAAGCTTTCTGGTCAAGTGCATTAGAAAACGACTACATTTAATCTAACGTATCTGGGAACAACCTAACCAAACAACTAGGAGTCCATATAAACCTTCCAGCGCCTCACCAGTACCCAAAATACAATATTTGCACCCCAGATAAAACCTGCAGATTTTGCATAACTTACAGCTATTAGATTCTACATTGACCAACAGTTGTAAAAGAACCAAGGAGTCGTTTGCATTGCAAACAGAATTCAGAAGCCTCGATAGATATGTGGATGTTTCTATTTATTACAACCGGAGCAGTGCAATCACAATACTTATAAGTTGTAAGACGATTTATCAGTAAAAATGTTTTTCTTCATCTGTACAAATTAATAAAACCTTTTCTTCCATCATCTTCCAATCAGACTTAATCAAATTATCAAACAATAATAATAAGCTGTAACATGATTTATAAGTAAAAAGGTCCTTTTTTTCCATTTCTTTCTATGAGGGAGATCATCGGTCGTTCAGACCTTCAATAAAATCCAAACTGTTTCAGGCAGCCACAGATACAAAAAAGAAACAAATGTTACAAAGACATTAAAATAACCACCCCCCAAAAAAAAATCTTTTTAGGCTTCTATTCAACAGGAGGACGATAACTCGATGGTAAGGACGTCGAACAAGTTCAGCCACTTTCGGTCAGACTTTAGGCTCCACGAAAGACTAAGAAATAAAGGCGATACGCTTTATCAAAACTAGCCAAAAAAAAAAAATTGTCAAAAACATTCAAGTCACAGAGGAAAAAAAAGGCCTGACTCATTCTCAAATGAAGAAACGTAAAACGACATCGCGGAAACATAAGTCTCACTTAAAAAACTTCAAGAGAAAAATCAGGAGCTATTGTGCCGTTACAGTTGAGAAAGGCCTATAAACAATGGCATTCTTTTTCCCGTTAAGACAGCACATTGGACAATATGAACATGCGTGTGCGAAGAAACTTTAAAACTACATTAGAACCCTAATTATAGCTAACCTAACAATTAAATCTCAAATGAACCCAAACCCAAAAAAGAAAAATAAACGGAACGATCTCGAGGCGAGTGGGAGAGAAAAAGTGTTGAAACGACCAGAGGAGTACTCACACTTCAGAGGGAACGGAAGGAGAAAACCGGTGGTCGAAGGTTCGGGAAGTGCCGGAGCTCAAACAGCAATTTTGACTTATTTCAGAAATGCTAAGGGCTCAGGCGCCAGCATATGTATCTTTGTTGAGCCGGAGCAGCGTCGGAGACCAAAATGAAGGCTTTAATGATGCAACCAGAGGTGCTAATTGAAAAAGCCCATGGGTCAGCTCAGCTCGACCCGTTCAACAATTTGGGCTCGTAATCATAATTTTACTTCAATTATTTTACTTGGGCCTCCATTATTTCATAGTTTGGGCTTGGACATCGGACAAGTGGGGTCTAATTTGTAACTAAAATTGTGTAACTATTCATCTTTTATTACCAACAAATATTGGTTTAGTTGGTAAGAATACGACTCATATTTTATAGACGAACAAGTAAACACAAATTTAATTCTACTAATGATTCTTTGCTATGGTCAATCTCGATTATGATAGTTTCTTATGATCTAAGGACTTACAAATGAAGATGAAATCCACTTTTTTTTTTTTTTTTTGTTTTGGTTTTTCTCTACTCATCTAGACGAAGTACTTCAGAGTGTCCAAATTCTTATTTGATAATAAGTCTTATTTGGTAATCAAGCTTGAATTTTGATGAAGTGAGAATATGGATGGGAATGAGGCATTTAAATTGTACTATCTCCAATCTTAATTATAAGAGCTAATTGACTAATTTAAAAAGATTAAAGAAAGAAGTTAAGTTAGTTATTTGTAATAAATAAATGTTATTTTTTCTAAAATATCCTTGCTAATCAAGTGTATTGGCTAGAACTATCATTGTTAGGAGGACTATCTTGAAAAAAAATACACAAATATTAGACACAAAGTGGATTGAGGTCATATATTTAGGACAAAAATAAAAGTCAAACGAGATCTTAATTAAAGATTGGAGGTAGTATTTGGTATAGAGTAATATTTAAACATAATGCTTTCATTACTTTCATTTTATAATCAACATAAAATGTGAAAAATACTTTAATACCCTTGTCCTGATTCTCGAACTTTATCACTCTGCTCATTTTCACAAATCAGACAACTCGCCGTTCTCTATAATTAAAGGAAGAGGATTTGCAAAGAAAGAGGATGATTGAAGGAACAAAAAACTTCATCAATTGCACACAACTCACCATCATATCGTCTGAGAAAAGGAGGCAACTCTAGATTAGACGGTGGGGGTAAGGGGGTGTCAAAGAAGAAAAGCAAAACAAGATATTAGTGAGATCTGATGACCTTAGTACACTACTAGTGTCTTTCTATGTTGTCATTCCTTTTTTATCAAGAGGATATGGAGAAAAAGGCATGGTGAAAAGCATAAAAGATAATGACAGCCCTTGAGGTTGGAGAAGGAGGGGACATGGCCGAAGAGACATAACAACAATAGAGAATGAAGACAAATACAACAGCAAGGTTAAAGAGCATGTAGCAGTGATAGAATTCCGAGCATCACCTCTCCTATAGTGTTTTCTGATCTCACGTACATGGAATTTACTATTTCCAAAGTAGCAATCATTTCTTCATATCAAATAATCTTTTTAGCGGGCCTTTTCAATCATAATCTCAATTCCAACTCCTGCTTCCTACCAAAAATAGGGCCTAAGGACTTATTCAGTATATGTACATTCTTGCCTACATAAAAAACTAGAGAAGTAGGCAACTTGGTGTGACTGAAACCACCTTTTAAAAAAAGCTAAGTTTTGTTTTTTTTTTTAAATATACATTTCATTAAAACCCCCATATGAAAAATGAGTTAGTTTCTAGCACAAGATTGTTGTAAATATTGTACATGAGCGTGTTAAAGAAAGAGCCTCTCTAACATTCTTCCTCTTTTTGATGGATTTTCTTTTTTTATAGATAGACGCTTTTTTAGACATATCTTGTACCTACCTGTGACCTATAAAAAAGGAATGTTTGTCGAAGAAGTAACCGCTCTTAAGGTGCTCGTGTACTTCTTTCTCCAATGAAATCTTCTTCTCTTTTCCGAGTTCTCTTACCTTTTGTTTGTTGTTTGTTTTTTTTTTTTTAATCACCGTGTGTTGTTATAAGAGGGATCCATTTGCTCTAATTTATTGAGCAGTTGCAGAATATCTCTATCAAAAGAGTAACTAGTACATGACATATGATTAGTCTTTATAGATGTTGCCAACAAAGATCATCCTTGATCTCAAGTCATCATTACCATTTCTCCCCTCTCATCTCTGATTTCACATTTGTTGAGCAACTCAATCATTCACCTCCTCACCAGCCATTCTTGTATGAGCGTCGTCATGTTCAACATCATGACAACCTGGGTATAATTCATCGTGTTGAACCCTTTGTATATCATAGTTGATAAATTACGCAAACTCCATGAACGGCGACATTGATGATGCGAAAGGATACAATTAGAGAGCAAAAATGGCTCTGGTTCTCGTCAAGGCCAGCTTGTGTTGGTGATGTTTGATTTGTGGAGTTTGATCATGGTGGTTCGAGGTCCTTGTTAGCTACTCCCTCCCCTCTCTCTCTCTCTCTAAAAATATAGTTCTTCTGCGATATTTTTCTTCTGGATTTTGCATCTTTCTGGTTTATTATCGTTTTCTTTTGATACACTGATTTCATGATATTCGACAGACTGGGTACATGATTCGTTTTATGAATCTATTGATTTCACAATTTTTATTTGATTTTTAAGATTAATGAAATTTCTTACGCGATGGAAAAAATGAAAATGAAATGAGGAGGAAGAATAACCAGGGGGAGGAGTCAAGTAATTCAATAACAAATTGAGCAAGAAAGATGATTTCGTCGTCAATAACAAATTGAGCAAGAAAGATGATTTCGTCGTCATTGAGACTAGATTACTTATTCCGTTTTTAATTTTGCCACAAACTTGGCCGAAAGCGTTTTGTGACAATTTCAAACCGCTTTATATAGACTACGGGGCAAAGGCCCAACAAAAACCGTTTTTCAAATAATCAAAATCAACACAAGTTTCTATTGAATTCTGTTAAAATATATTAAACATGCACAAACTTTTGCTAAAAATAATTAGTTAATGTTAACAAAACTCAGAAAGGTTATGAATGATTCATATTTTTAAAATAAAGCAAATCTACATAATTTTAACAAAATTTATAAAATGCTTTTTATAAATTACTTCTGTTCTCAGAAGAAACATATGTAAGCTTTTTAAGAGGCGTATACTATAATTTGCCTGTAACGTTTTCACCATTAAAATCATATACAATTTTATTTTCAAATAAAGTATTCAATAATTTAAATCGTTCGAAAATATTTTTGAATTTAACACGTCATGTATAATAGTTATTTAACGTTATTCACCAGTTGATAAGAATGAAATTAATAGAAATAATGAATATAACAATTTCCCAAGGAGAGAATAAAATCTGTATAGTATTATATATATAAAAGATTTTTTTTTTTTCAGTTTTACCCTCCATTTAATGCCATAACATTTTAAATCTTACTGCCCCATTTAATGCCCTCCATCAAACTGGGATATTATTGAAAACAAGCAATAATTATACCTTAAAATTTGAGAAAAGACAGCTGACAAATGAAAATATAAATTAGGACAAGTAAATATGAACGGAGAAAGCAGCTTTCTTTGCTTTGGGTCTTATTTCCAAGTAACTAGGGTATGCAAAGGTCCAATTTTCATGGCAACTTAGAAAATTTAAAAATCTGCGACAGGAATGGGATTAAAAATATTAGAGAGAGAAGGTTTATGTTGGCAAAACATTTGCAATTGTCCAAGAACCCTTAATTTACAGTACAAGTAAATACTACTAAATGACAACATTTGTTCTAGCAGACGACACTATGAAAACTGCAGCAAATCTCTATGTACTAAAGCAAAAGTGGTATAACATTCAAATGGCCGCAAATTGTGGAAATTATTCTCTTTTTGATAAATGGGGCTTATTTGCAGGTTCCTCACAAGCGACATGCTCTGCCCCAAAACAATGGACGAAAGCGCTCCTGACCAACCAGCCTCTTTGGGGTGTAATGGAAATCTCTACGCAAAAACCCTTGGCCTTTTCAGACTAGCATTATTGAACTCATCCTATTGCATAAACAGAGAAATTGAGAAAAAACCATTAGATATCAACCTAGTTAATAAGATCAGCGATCATTGCTCAAGAGAATGCGTTGCGCATAAAATGCAGAAAATATAGGAAAATTTCCAAACAGATATCAGATACATCAATAGAGATAGCTGCATAAGAAGTAATGTGCATTATTTATTTTACAATGCTTCGTTGCGAGAGCATAAAGCTAATTAGTGCTCAAAAAGATAAAATCAAATCAATTTTCTCAGACTGTAGAAGTACATGGAACATGTCGTAGCATAACTGATCACAGGTAATTTAAAAGCCAGACACAATCATATCCACAACTAATTCCCATGTTAAAACAACATGTCAACCCAACTAGATCAAGCAGAAGACTAGAACTTGAAAACATGGTAAAACATGGTCAACGGTGGTTTAAGTCTTGCGAACCTCATTAGTAGTCTGCCAAAACTTTTCTGAAAAGCTCCTTCGGTGCTGCGCATGCAAAATGAAGTCACATAAAGAAAATAAGACATCCA